CTGTATAGAGGTCTTTGCCCAGCAGTGGGACATGTATAGGCTGTTACTCAACTTTTTTTATGCTTTTTAACGTTATTTTTCAGTCAGATAGCTGTTCGTTTTACTTACATTACCAGCGCTATTGATGTTCGTTCAACCGAGGAAGGTATGATTTTTATGCAGTTTTACTGTAATAGGGCCGGGCGCAACACCTATTGTTGCACGAATGGGCAGGCTTGTCCGGGGAAGCATTATACTGTCGCGTTTCGTTTGGAGTGAGGTAGCCGGGCCTTTTTGAAAGGTCGATAACGCATCTTTAGCCCCACAGGTGTAGATAGGTGGTGGGCAACAGCAATCAGTTAACATCAGATGAACCACCAGCTCGCTTGCCAACTTCACTACATAATATAAAACTAAGTCGTCACGCTGTGTGTCTGTCCCTATGTATGCTCAGATCTCTAAAACTACGCAACGGATCTTGATGCGTTTTTTTACTAGATAGAGTGGAGGAAGGTTTATATGTATAATACACTAGCTGCTGCCCGCGACTACGTCTGCGTAGAATAGACTGAAGGCGTAACATTCTGACAAAAAGACAGATACACATAAAATATGTATATAAATTATAGCATATGTCTTATACTGATGTATAAGCTATATTATTGTAAAGTCTCATTAAAATCCATTCAGTAGTATTTGCGTGAAAGAGGTTACTCTTTCACCTGCCACTGCCGAACCTTATCTTGTCCCAGGGAAGATTTTTAAAGTGTGATTTCTTTACCGTGGGGTAACAATTTTGCTGGTGTTGATTATAATTTTGCTGTCAAGGTCGTAATACAAGCAACATGCCAGTACAAGACAAGTATTGAGTAAAATTATAATCAACCTTTTGTCTTATTTCCCGTCCCGTCAGTCGGTGTCGTACAAAAAAGTTTTCTTATAATTCATACAGAATATATTCATCGGATCACCTTGTATGAACACCCTTGCGTTAGCTTTTGCACAAATAATATAATTTAGTTATGGATTATGACTACGGTTGCATATTATTATAATATTCTTCAATTAATGCAAAATATAAAACGATTCTAGGAACATATATTGTATGGAGTAAAAGTAAGTAGGGTAGTAATGTTCACAATTACAATGATCAAGACTTCGATAGACTACTAAAGGTTCAAGGTATTTTTTATGGTACGTCAAAAGGTAAAAAAATCGTTTAATCAACTATAATTATTATAAAAGAAAGGAACACATAATTATTAAGAGTAACTAAATAAGTCGAAAATCCAATTATTTTAAATTAAGAGAGTAAACCGCTTTTATTATTTTAAATAAATTCTAAACAAGCCAAAATGATAGAGACATAAAATTTTAAACACAAAGAATTGGTCATCATACCCCGGCAACAGCCATTTCACTTGCTACGATCGCAGTGGCCTCGTATTCACACCTGTCGTCGAAATAGCGTTGACGACAAATCGTAAGACTTCCAACATGCGTTAATGTTTTTTTTTTTAATTTACAAATTTATTATGTTCCTTTTACCAGATACGTAATAATATTAATAACTAAATAATGTGCTATACGATTCGTTTCCAAAAGGGCAATGAGGTTACTTTATATTAACACCTTCACTGCCATAGCGAAAAATGACAATATCTTGGTTTTGGATAAGTTGTTTATATGATTTAAAATTACTTTTTTATCATATATACATATGTAACAAGTGTATATACACATTTTTATACATCATTTACACCCGGCGCGGCGCAATAATATTTTTCCATTGGAGCCACGCGGGTCAAATCGCCAGTCATACTTTTTAGCCGATTTTTATTCCATCCAAAACGTCCGTCATACGCCATACAAATGTAGTGCTCAGGCAATGTGAGAATTTGCTAGGAAAGGGCTATTCTACCTTTGTAGACAATTGGTACACAACTTTAGATTTGGCAGGAATTATAATCGACAGTGAGATCCATCTTATTGGAATATTGGTCAAAAATGGAAAGTAACTACTTAAAAAGGTAGTGGATGCCAATTTGAATCCTGGAGACTTTGCAGCCAAAAAAGTGGGGAGGGAATTACTGTTATGAAATAGAAGGAACGTCTCGCTGGACCTTTGTTTTCTTTTAATTAAGCACTCATTTAAACATAATTATGATATACTTCGATAGCGAAGTAAAGCTTTGTCTTAAGTTTTGATCTACATAAGTATTGATATTGTTCTGTTTGTATGTAATGGGTGATCTAATGAACGGAATCAATTTATTTTTATTAATGCCAAATTATTTCACTGATACTTTTTCGAAATAAAAGGATTTCTTTATTTTTGTTCGAAATCTCAACATTTGAATCGTGTTAGTAGGTTAGATGAGTGACTATTGTGTAAATAACCTTGGAAACTATCGCTGCGGGAACTCAATTTCGATGAGAGCGAAAAAAATGGCAAAATTTTATACGTTGCACTTTTTAGAATTTATATCGGTCAGGTCATTCGTTTCTATAAATGGATTTCAATTAAATCAAAAATGGACATAGTGTTTTTTATTTGACTGCAGCAGGGCAGCCGAAATGAATGGTTTTTAGTTATTTAAAAACTCAGACATTCGATTCTAAAATTATTGAATAAAAGTTTATCGCGGCTAAAGTTTAAAAAAATATAGTGGGGTCAAACTAATTAACATCGTCATCAGCATCATTAAAATCAAGTTCTATCGATCATTTGCTAGATGTAGGCCTACACCAATATATTCCAGTACAAGTCCTAGACTGCAGCTCCCCACTGTACTTGTTTCCTCTTCCATTTGATAACTCTTAATTCGTTGATTTTGAAAGCTATTTTGAGAACTTTTGTTCAAGGTCTATTTTGTCTGTTCAAGATTCTGTCCACGAAAATCATTGAGCCTATCTCTATCGCGTACTGTACAAATTTTAACTTGTGGTTCAGACCGTTTTGTTCATATAATTAAATTGAATCATTTAAATAAAAACCTATTTATACGACATGTGAAGTCCGACTCGGCGGTGGGGTTGCGTGTTCGACCATGTCTTAATACTATCTTCCAGAGTAAGTCATTACCCAGCAGTGGGCCGTACGTAAGCTGTCCACTTTACTTTCATATTATTAGTCGTTCATTACATCTAAATTATGTCTTTTAAGGCTTTTTTTACGTGAGAATTTAGATAGCGAGCTGGCGGTTCACCTGATGTTAAGTGATAACCGCCGCCTATTGATGTTTGCAGCACCCATAGGGTTGCAGATGCGTTGCACTTTTTAATACAGTGGGTACCTCACCAGACGAAACGCAGAAGTATAACTCTAACACTACATGCCGGTCTTCTGTAAGGTCGTGCTACTTGCCGCGACGTACCTGCTCATTCGTACAACAGCGAAAAGTGTCGCGTGTTCCACTAATATTTTTATAGACTAATACCAAATCAAGTATACTTCTTACTTTATAACTAATAAATTTTTACGATTGCATCATTTGTTAAAAAGTACGTTTAAACTTATATAAAATTAAAACTTTGCCAGGCTTAATATGAGTGATTTGATTAAATTGCATGGAAATAAAAACTCTGAAAGTATTTGCTTTAGTGATTCGAAACTAAATATTATAAGCTGTCGTGAAAAATAAATATTTTGTGATTATTATATTTTGCATCAACGGCGAATGCGTTTCAAATGACTTCAATGAGTGAATGAATAAATGGAAAAACGTACATAAAACGAAATTATTTTCAAATTATACCAAATAAGTTGAACAACGAGATGAGTTCGTGTACATTACATTAAACTTATATATTAGGATGTCTATTTAGCCAGGATGGAGAACACAATAAAAAAGGCAAGGCCACCTGTTGCTGCCACACCGCCACCAAAAACAGCTATACAACAAGAAATACGGTAAATGGGATCGTAAATTAAAAAAACACAAACTAAGTACATAAGTTGAAAGAGAAGACAGGCAGCAAGTATACAGGGTGGCTTTTCTAAAGGTGCCCAAATTCACACAGGAGGTTCATACTCGGTAGTATAATCGTTTATTGAAATTGCCATTCCATTTTCTAAAAAACAGAACTTGTTGAGACTGCGGTAGTCATTCATAAATGCGTCGTATACTTTTGAAACGAACTTGTGTGAGTGTTAGTTATGAGAATGATCACGCGTAAAATAAATGAGTTGCCCATAAATCACGCACTTTTTGAGATAAGTTCAAATGAATTTATTTAATTAATTACGAGTGATTTTAAATATAATTTTTTATACAACATAATTTCTCTATATCAAGAATATAATAAAAAAATGGATAAACTTAGAAAAGCCTCCCTGTATACCCAAGATAAATATTAACGCCTCGCGTAGATTTGTTAGGAAACCATGTGAACAAGCAGCAACACGCTATTTTTGGGAGAAGTAGGTAAAGGAAAGAGAATGGAGTAGGACGCCCATGGAAAATTTCTATCAGTACATAAGGTATAAGTACATAAAAAAGGATATCGCAAATACAGATTGGCGATATATTTTTTATTTCAAACTTAAAAATAAATAAACTAGCAAACGTGTCGCCTGATGGTAAGTTATTGCCACCGCCCATGCAAACTTGCAACATCGGAGGAGTCACGAAAGCGTTGCCGGCCTTTGAGGTAGAAGTAGGATCACCTCTTGAAGGTCCCTAAGTTTATCGGTCCGGAAATACCATTGGCTACCTAATTAAGCAAGGTGATCGTGCGCGACAGAAAAAAATAAATGTGTACGTGTGGAGAAGTAAAATTGTGGAACATGTGAATACAATTTACAACAGTTTTGTAAAACGTATATAAGTAGCTTTGTTTTTTTTTTAACTGACAGCTCACGTTGTACGATAGCGTACGTACGATACGATACGTTCAGCGTTGCCTAATACAAACAAGTATCTCAACTAAAATAAATACTTACTGGATATGTTAATTGGCAGGAGCTCACAGTTTAAGTTAAACATTTCTACACAATATCAATGTGGGACACGAGACTATCGCCATGAGGTGTGTCCATTGCTGGGGCTCTCAGGGGTTGAGGCGCCGGATCCGTTCTGCGCCGAGCCGTCTTCTGCGTCTTCGCCACTTGGCCCCTCCACCTCATGCCGACAGAACGGGCAATGACCCTTCGTAACGAGCTGTATTTCGTAGTCCTCCATATAGAACAGCTATAACAATGGAAAATTTTGAATTTACAGGGTGATGCTTTTGCAATCCGTTCCAAAACACTCGTATATGGATGGCAATGTTTGAAAACTTGGAACACTTAAATCTGTGCATGCGATACTCACAAATGTGTATATTCTACAAGTAAAGAAAAAATAATAGTAATTGATATCTGATATTGAAATAATAGAAATAGTTCAGTAAATGAAATCTTTAAGACTTTACTAATACTACGCATGCGGAATATTTTGTGATTTAGCAGAGGTAAAGTTTCTATGGAGACAAATCGCAGAAAGCTAAAAGGTATATAATATATATTAAATAATACGGTTACGTCCTGTTTGCGATTTGGTTACATTATTAAAATTTCCTTCATACAGTCTTTTAAACCTTTTTTCGAGTAACTATAGTACAAGAATTTGATTAGTTTCTTATAGTAATGTATACAAAAGGTAATTATTTTGTGAAAATTGTAATGCAGATCTTGAATTTTGAGCACAAGTGGAGCATTTCTGGATCGGGAATTTTGCATTCTCTTTTACGATCAGTTTCATCGATTAAAGCAATCAATTTCCTGACCATTTGATTCTTACCTCGTTTTCAATTTTCTGTAGTTTCTGTTTCATAGGAGCCTACTCGAGTATGCTTAAAAGCGAGTCGTAAGACATTTGCGGAGACCCACTTTATAACTGCTTAGAACTTTCCACTCCGCCGTGCGTATCAAATTGTGCCGACATTGCTCTAGGCAATGATATTATAATATATACAAATGCGAGATAGATATATATTACCGCGCCGAAACTGAGGCACTATGACAATTGTTGTAATTTATTACTCTGCTATATATTTCCTTATCGTAGATTCTATGTATATATCATCTATATATATATCTATAATCTATCTATTCTAATCTATCTTATACCTTTTAATGAGCAATCCTTGTATATATATACTCGGAATCTCGGAAACGGATCCAGCGATTTTGATGAAATTTAGTATGTGCGTAGATTCGGGGGTGAAAAATCGATCTAGCTAGGTGTTATTTTTAGAAAATGTCCCTTTATACCTGTTTTCAGGGAATGAAAAATATCATTCGAATATGACACGGTAAATTTCGCCGTAAAAAAAATATATTATAATAGCTCAGTCGGTAATCGGGCGGCCCCGAAACAGAAGGCCGCGGTTCGTGTCACGATCATATACACACTTATTTTTTTTTACCACCAAAACATTCTTAATTTTTTTTTATTTCCAAAATATACGATTTACGAAAAAAAACCGACCAAAGCTCGGTCCAGGTACTAATTCAATTAAATATGTCACATAAACATGAAAAGCTTCTTCCAGTTTTTAAAAGCGCATATTTATTAAAACATCATTGCAACAAAATATGCGTATATTTATTAAAACATCATTGGATCTAGGCATAAATTATTGTATATAAAAAATCAGTGTATTTGTCCGTGATAGTCTTCAAAACTTCTCAACCGATGTTTTATTTTATTTTTCTAGATCTGTTCTAAGTTAGAACCAAAGATAGGCTTTTGGGTATGGGATAGATCTTTCCAGCCTAATGTTAAAATTATATATATCAGATATTGTTACTACAATCAAGTTTAGTAAGTATCACTTATACGCTGACGACCTCCAAATATTTATATCGTTTAAACGTTGCGATACAGATTTGGCAATTAGTATAATTCAAGCTGATTTGAAATGTATTTCAAAATGGTGCAGTAACAACAGTTTGGTAATTAAGCCTTCTAAATCAAAGTACATGTTGCTCGGAACACGTAAACAAATTGCCAACATCCTAGCTCGGAATCCCCAAATTTCTGTTGACAGTTGTCCCATTGATCGCGTATCGGAAGCTCGGAACCTGGGATTGATTATGGATGACAGGTTGTGCTTTGAGGAACATGTTATAGAGACAATGCGTAACTGTTTCTATAGATTTAAAGTCTTATACAAAATTCGCGAGTACTTGACTGTGGATATGCGCATTAAGTTGTGTAAAACTCTCATCTGTTAGCACGAATACAAAACACATGTCCACCAGACGGAAGCTTCACCTCGCCTCCCTGCTCTTCGGAGTGGTTAAAACTGGGGAACCTTCTTATTTATACGACAAGCTCACACGCACACACACACACGCACACGCACACCCACACGCACACGCACGCGCACACGCACACGCACACGAACACGCACACGCGCTCGCGCACGTGCACGCGCACACAGACACACACACACACACATATGTACCTTTGTTTGTTTTTATTATGATTGTTATAACCTTGTTGTTTTCGTTTTTTGTTTTTATTATCATTATTTCATAGTTTTAAGATCTGTTACTTGGTTTGTAAGATACTTGTGTAAGCTGACGGTATCGCCATCTACCTTCTTATACAGCGTGTCGTTACCATCGCGACAATAAATGAACATACGTCTAACGCTACTTGCCAATAATCATAAAAAAATATTTACGTTAAACAAAATCTATAATTAAAAAAAAATATTTTTCAAACAAACTAATTAAGTAAAAAAGAAACAACATTTGTAACATGCTATACAACTCGCGCCACAGCGTCGCATTACAAGCCTCTCCTTCTAACAGTATGTTTTGTCTCTTTTAAATTCATTCAACCCATCTATATGCTTTGTGACCTTTAAAAATGAACTTTACGTTATAGTTTTATACGTAAGGGTGTTCTAAAATTGTTTGTTTTGGAAAATTTAATAACTCGGTAAATATTGATGTTTAAAGAATGTAAATGTTTAATACAATTTTAAAAAGTTATCCTCTATATGTGTGTTCATTTATTGTCGCGGTGGTAACAACACGCTGTATATAGGTTCCACTGAAAATCAGCTCTCATGAAGTTTTTTTATTATTAAACTTCGTGAATTTAACGCTGAGTGGAAACCTTTTTGGTGCACTAATAAGCATTAAATATTTTTTTCTCTTTGTTACTAAATTACTGTGTTTATGTCTTTTATGTGTTTTTTACATTTATGTACCAAATTAATATTTGTCTTTCTTTCTTTCTCTCTTTCAAAAATCAATGTGATCCACAACGAAACCTCTGATCAATTAGTGATCATTGCCGGTCTTCACTTTTGTGATCACGGAGATATCAGTGAATAACCGTTTGTCGAAAACATAGTATACACACGTCAAATCAACCTCTGCACACAACGAATAAACCTTTATATTAGTTTCACCTGTATTTATGTATGTAACGGAATCTTGAAACATGATTTTGCCCTCTCTACAATAAATTTAATTGAATCAAACTTTGCACATTCGTTTTCATTGTTATCGTTTTTATTGATTGAATTTTCAAAGAATGACAATGCAAACATTTAAATAGTTTTTCCCATTGTCCTGATCAGGACCTACAGGATTAGCTATTTTCTAAATCCGATACGCCGTAGGGTCCTTATGCCAAGTACGCATCTAAGAATGTTTAAAAAAATACTTTTATACTTAACAGAACTAAAAAAAATAAAATAAATGATAAATATAGTTTAAAAAGAACTAAAAAACACGCTTTTGTAGATAACCAAACTAAAAAGTAGAACATAAAGCTTAATTCTGGAGGACCATGAACAGAACAGCTAAAGAATGAGATGACGGTTGAAAGAGGGAAGTTGAAATGAAGCTAGTATGCGATTAGAGAGGGAGAAGGAACCTTTTTCTGTGAGAAGGTGGCAACCGAGCTGACGTTTCATCTGATGGTAAGTGACAACCGCCGCCCATGAACATTACCATACGAAACGCATAAATATAACACTTCCACTTCACGCTGACCTTCCGAGGGGTCGTGGTAATTACACGGACGGACCTTGCCCATTCGAGCAACACACACACAGTAGTAACTATAAGGGAAACATTTGAAAATAATATAGAATGTGAACGCACGTTCTGGCAATGCGGGCACGCAGCCACCGGTAGCTCGGGCAGCATGTTGCGGTAGAAGCGCGGTGGCAGGGGTGGCCGCAGCAACGTCACCACGCTAGCGGGATTCAGCCGCAAGAGGGCGTTGCGACTGCACAGCACCACGCCGGTCTCGTCGTCCTTATTCGAAAAGAGGATTTATAATAATAATAATAATAAAACCATTTAATCAGCTCAACAAACAACACTGGCAAAAAATAAACTATCAACATGTACATAGGTAGAAGAAAAAAAAGAAGTATAATTAATAATAGTGAAAAATAAAAAAGAAGAAAAACTATAATATTCAAGAAAAAATATAAACTATGTGCAGAAAATGTGAGCGTTGCAATGCTGAGTTGATAGGGTCAGCTGCTCAGCATAAGCTGAAATCACAGGAAAGACAGATGGCACTTGCGCTTTTCACAAAGATCTCAACGTGGTAAACAATCCCGTTAAGTTAATAGAAGGAGGATAGTTTCGCCTGGTGTATGTGGTAATCGGGGCCCACTTTATTAAAAGATCACAACGCATCGAGAGCCGTGATATCTCACTTTCCCAGCGCTAGCTTTTAATTCAATATACTCGAGCGACCTGAATTCGATCCCCAGTGCCGACACCAACGATCATCACCGTCAGGTGAACCGCTGGCACGCTTAGCATCTTTATAAGTAAAAAATATTGACAGCCATTGTCCCGTATATTTACACTGAATGAATTGTATATAAATAGTTTTAAATACATACTATAACCATTGCTAGAATAAAATATTACTTGTAACATACCTCCTCAATTTTATCCAGAAATGGATCTGAAGAATCGATGTCGTGGTCTATCCGAAGAATTTCAGCATCTCCTGATTCTTGCTTAGTAGTGGCTTCGGGGAGAGGTGTACGTTCTATTAAATCCAATGCTTCTGCTGTAGTTACACCTTCTGCCGGCTCAAATTCCACCAATGGTAGTACTTCTATTTAAACAAAATTACACAATCAATGAACCACAAATGTGCATGGGTTTTGCTTCGTGTTACAGTGAGACTTTCGAAAAGGGTTCGCGGAATGAAAGGATTGGTAAGAGATAGGAACTGTCCCAAATACCTAGGACTATTTGATGAATCAATTTCACTAACTAAGCTTTAGATAAATCCGGTCACTCTGGTTGGAGTTATCGCCAAATTACCGAGTAAATCGCAAAAATAATGTTAAGTTCCTCACTAGCGCCCGGATTCGTAAACACTGATCATCGTATAAGTTAAGTAATCAGCTGTCAAATAGCTTTGCAAATGTTATTTAAGTTGCCAAAAGGATGGTTAAACTCACTGAATTGATCAGAATGATGTTCTTAATCATCGGAGAATTTTTCCATGCTAGAATTGTCAGTATGTCGCCAACTTAAGTTCCCGTTAATTTATTCACGTCTATTATTTTTTCGAATTAACTGTGTCAATCAAATGGAATTTCTATTAGGAGGAACAAGACATTTTTTAAGAATCAGATTTACAATTGTTTCCTTTTGTAGTTGTCTGCATGTCTATTAGAAGTCCTATCGGTGGCACTCACCAAAAGTGGCGATGGAGTGCGTGAGCTGATGGTGGCAGTGGGGGCAGCGTGTGGCGCACAGTGGCGGGCCGTGGCGGCGACAACGCCAGCATAGCGGCGATACCTCATCGTCCTGATTATCACCGCTGACGGCGTTCGCGCGGCTCTTCAATATCAACAACTCCACACTTTCCTATAAGATAAGAAAGGACGTGTAGAAAAACGTCTCGTCTCAAAACTACTTCTCAGTGCATGTTTTAGTTTGCTACCTGTTATTAAAACTTTCGGTTTCAATTAAAAATAAAATAAAACTCTCGGGATCGTTAGAGAGAATGAAATCTGCGCGATGCAGACGCAACTGCGGAATGGCCTAACAGCAGTCTTAGCTGTTTCACGAATGGGAAGGTCCGTCCGGGGAAGTACCATGACCTCAGTGAAGACGGCGTGAAGAGGAAATGATATATTTGAGTGACGCCAGTGTTGAAAAAGAGAGAAGTGTTGCAAATGTCAATAGGCGGCGGTTAGCACATAACATCAGGTTAACCTTCTCACATAAAAAGCAGTTTTACACCCAAGGGACAAGTAAACATAAACTGTAGTTGAATCTGTTTCAAAGCTAAAGTTTTCTTTGTGCGCTAGGGGTCTCAGAGAGAAGTCTACTCTGCAGCCCCCTTGCAAATTTGCTGATTTCGAAAATCCCCAAAGTATCATTCCTTGTTAAATATCAAATAGCATAATCAACACTGAAAATGACGATGTAATTTACACACTTATTAGACTAAAATATAATGCCGAATAAAGTTAATTAAAAACCGTACAAACCTGAAACTTTTGAGGTATTTGGAGATTGAGAATTTTGTCCAACATTTGCTGTGCTAGTGAATTTGCATTCAACGTCTTTGCCTGTTTTGCGATGCATAGATATAAACAGCTGATTGTATAATTAAGGAAAATAAATGTAATAATGTTGAAAATTGTTCAAAAATAATGAAAATGGAGAAGAACTAGACAATTCTTATTATATTCATTTAAAAGGAGTTAAGTTAAATAATACTTAGTATTAACTTACTTACTTTTAAGTTTATTGGAATATGAAAAACGTTACTTAACGAAACAAGGCAATTTTGATATAACACTGATATTTGATATAAATTTGAAATTGGTTTAAGGTTTACGATATATTCGTGTGAGGTTTACAATCGGTAATAATAAACCCGTGGTACGTAAAACAATAGTTCATTTTTTCACTGAAATCATTCGATTTCCGAATCAGAAGCTTCAAAATAGGCGTGGAGACCACTTCTGGCGTTTATATACAGCGTGTCCTTACCACCGCGACCATAAATGAACACACGTCTAACGCTACTTGCCAATAATCATAAAAATATTAACGTTAAAAAATCCATAATTAAAAAAAATATTTTTCAAACAAACTAATTAAGTAAAATGAAATAAAATTTGTAACATCCTATACAACTACATCCGACTGATTCGAACATTCAGAGACTTTTGATTCGTTGCCACAGCGCCGCATTACAAGCCTCTCTTTCTAACAGTATGTTTTGTCTCTTTTAAATTCATACAACCAATTCATATGCTGTGTGACCTTTACAAATGAACTTTACATTAAAGTTTTATACGTAAGGGTGTTCTAATATTGTTTGTTTTGGAAAATATGATAACTCGATAAATATTGATGTTTAAAGAATGTAAGTCTTTAATACAATTTTAAAAAGTTATCCTCTATATGTGTGTTCATTTATTGTCGCGATGGTAAAGACACGCTGTATTAAAAAATCAATTAATCGTATTTGACAATAAGCATTACACTAGCTTACGATACGACTACTTCGGAAAAGAAAAGACACCGACTTAGGAAAAAGCGACTGACTTGAGAAGAAACTAGCCTTTTTTATGTCACCTTTGGAGCGGCAAAATAGGCTTTAGTTTTGACGTCACATTTGGAAAATTCGCTGTGTTTATAGTGGTTTACGGCACATAGGACGCTCAAAGGATACAAGAGGGAGACGCCTGGCGGCGGCTCGGTGTCGATGCGGGCGAGAGCGTACCGCGCCGCGTTCAGCAACGCGTCCGGCTGGCTCAGAGAGAAGGGCTCGTGCACGCAGCGGTGCGCCGCCTCGTAAGCGTGGTACACGAGCGCCCGACGAGCGTTCCGCTCGTAGCTCAGCAGCGCCCTCTCGCGGTCCCTATAAAGCACGCAGGTCGAGTACCCAGCTGAGCAGCGCCCTCTCGCGGTCCCTATAAAGCACGCAGGTGGAGTACCCAGCTGAGCAGCGCCCTCTCGCGGTCCCTATAAAGCACACAGGTGGAGTACCCAGCTGAGCAGCGCCCTCTCGCGGTCCCTATAAAGCACGCAGGTCGAGTACCCAGCTGAGCAGCGCCCTCTCGCGGTCCCTATAAAGCACACAGGTGGAGTACCCAGCTGGTCGAGCTGAGCAGCGCCCTCTCGCGGTCCCTATAAAGCACGCAGGTCGAGTACCCAGCTGAGCAGCGCCCTCTCGCGGTCCCTATAAAGCACGCAGGTCGAGTACCCAGCTGAGCAGCGCCCTCTCGCGGTCCATATAAAGCACGCAGGTCGAGTACCCAGCTGAGCAGCGCCCTCTCGCGGTCCCTATGAAGCACGCAGGTGGAGTACCCAGCTGAGCAGCGCCCTCTCGCGGTCCTTATAAAGCACGCAGGTCGAGTACCCAGCTGAGCAGCGCCCTCTCGCGGTCCCTATAAAGCACGCAGGTCGAGTACCCAGCTGAGCAGCACCCTCTCGCGGTCCCTATAAAGCAAGCAGGTGGAGTACCCAGCTGAGCAGCGCCCTCTCGCGGTCCCGATAAAGCACGCAGGTCGAGTACCCAGCTGAGCAGCGCCCTCTCGCGGTCCATATAAAGCACGCAGGTCGAGTACCCAGCTGAGCAGCGCCCTCTCGCGGTCTCTATGAAGCACGCAGGTGGAGTACCCAGCTGAGCAGCGCCCTCTCGCGGTCCCTATAAAGCACGCAGGTCGAGTACCCAGCTGAGCAGCGACCTCTCGCGGTCTCTATGAAGCACGCAGGTGGAGTACCCACCTGAGCAGCGCCCTCTCGCGGTCCATCTAAAGCACACAGGTCGAGTACCCAGCTGAGCAGCGCCCCCTCGCGGTCCCTATAAAGCACGCAGGTTGAGTACCCAGCTGAGCAGCGCCCTCTCGCGGACCCTATAAAGCACGAAGGTCGAGTACCCAGCTGAGCAGCGCCCTCTCGCCGTCTCTATGAGGCACGTAGGTGGAGTACCCAGCTGAGCAGCGCCCTCTCGCGATCCCTATAAAGCCGCAGGTCGAGTACCCAGCTGAGCAGCGCCCTCTCGCGGTCCTTACATTACACGCAGGGCATGTAGGTGAGCAGTGCTCTTTCAGGTTCCCTATAAAGGACGCAGATCAAGTATCTTTGTTTCGGATCTGGTTGTAAGTCTTCGTGACATATGTGAAACACTGGATATAATTAAATGCGCAATGGTTTCGAAGAGAAGGCTACGATAGATTTTCTAGGTCACAGGGTTTGTTGGGACTTACTTCCCAACCCCTTCCACACCTATAAAATAAAATAGTCCTAAATGGTTAGTAACACCGTATAACAGTCTCTGCTGTTAGCTGCGAAAGTCAGCCAGTCTCCAAGCTGCAAGAGTTGGGGTTATAAGCTCTCCCTTATCCGTCATACTCACCAGACCTTATACCTGCCGACTGTTACGATTTCCAGAATTTTGGCCACTTTTTAGCGAGGAACAAAATTCAATTCCCGAGGGGCAGTACAAAATGCGTTTAAATAGTTTGTTGCCATCCATCCAGCTGATTTTTACAAGAAGGGCATTGATAAATTAGCACTGAGTTGATAAAAATGCATCCATTCCATCTTTATCAACTCAGTGTTTATTATTATGTTTTTTCTATTACTTTGAATAAAAGAAATAACATTTAAAAATAACACTAAATTATTTCATACAAAACGGCAATTTTATAGGTAAAAAGACCTGATATTATTCAAATTCGCATTATACATGTATCAACTAAATAAATAACTTACATATTACTTAAATAGTCACGAATGTTATATTCTATTATTTTATACCTTTTTTTTATTATAGACGGAATTAATGTAGATTTATGAAGGTCATCGATCGTATGATATGTCCAAATTGAATGTTTTTCGCTGAGCTTTACATATTAAGATAGCCAGGTAATATAAATAAATAAGATACTAACTTGCCATTGGCGGTAGCGGCAGTATCAAGACACTGTACAGCGAGTAGATGGTGCAAGTAGCCAGCGTCAGCGAACCTCTCTTCTGCCACAGCATTGCCCACAAGTACACTGAACACGCGCATAGCCGTCGCAGACTCACCGGCCATGTGATAAGCTGCAATTAAATTTTTGAGTGCACTTTAGTGTACTACGGACGCACCTCACTAATGTTCATTAAGAACTTATTTGTATTTATTAACAACTTGTTGACGGATAGCGAGAAGGAAGAGTCCGTGCTCGATACATATGACACAACGGAATTACTTAAAAATCCATCAATCACATGGGGATAAACAATACGATGAAGATTTACAAGTCAACCTAACATTAAACGTATCAAAGAGAAGAGAACGACTGAGCATGGAAGTTAGTGAAGCTCATTGAATAAATCTAAAGATAAAAGAAAAGGTTCAGTTTAGCAAAAACACTTAAAGAGCATGATGTCTGTGACACAGTAAACATCGGAAAGACCCCAACGAAAAATCACAACAATATGCAAGAAATTTAACTTTAAAATTCGGAAGATAATGGCAGGCGAAGACTCTGCAACGAGTTAATGTAACGATGACACCTGAGCCAAAAATTTTACTGATGAACTTCCTCAAGATAGCAATGTAACATTCCAAAACCTACTTAAAAAGTTAAAGCGAGCCACATCCTCAAAAAGATTCTTGGAGGCTCATTGTACGATAGGATTGCCTTGTCGATACCGAAATTGGTTACAACAACGATGAAATAGTACCTCAACTATTTAACAGATTAGTTTGAATTCAAAGCTTCTAAAAGAGCTACCAGTAAAAGTAATCTATGTAAATACATCAATTCCATAACACATCCTAATTTCTCCTGTACGTGGTGCAAGTAAGTAGTAAACAAAATATATGTCACACGAACCTTTTTGCGCCTCTATGAATTTGTTTTCATTCGCCATTCGATGAGCGTACGGCAAATACACCTCGCGTTTGCAATCTGAATGTTCGCGAGCGAGCGCGAACGCTCGCGACCACTCGCCAGCTGATACTGCCAACTGTGCTACTTTTCTGGAATGGTTGTAGGTTCAAAATTAATACCACGCTAATTTAAAATGCCAAAGTTTGAACTGGGTTTATTATCAATCGCTTATACGTTCGTTGTTCTACATGCTCGCGTATGAAACGCATAAAAGCTATTGATATGGGTAGTTTGGTCGGTCTATTCAATCGCTTGTTTAGTCCAAAATAATTAATATTATTTCGATTTCGGGTGCAGATGGCGAAGTTGTTTCAAATACTCCGCGATATTCCAGCATTTTTTTACGTAGGAGCATTTTTTTTACGTGGGTACAATCCTTTATGGATCCCCCGCCGCCTTGTAGATAGGCAGCAAGGGTATGTGGTAGTTTCCGAATGACACGGGGGTACCCACTAAAAACCCACGTTGCATCTGCGCTGTCATTTTTGGCGGGGACACGGGAACACGAAAATGCAATCTTCCTCGAACCACGGCGCGGCTGGGGCTTCGTCTCTCCGGGTGCTCGTTCACCCGGTCCAGCCCAATGGTGCCGTGTCGGTGCAATGGAGACGGCACCCCTCTCGAGCCCTCCACGGAGCGTTAGTTAATGCCACATCTGCCACCCCCGGGCCCGCTATCATACAGGAAGGTTGGTCTCCGGCGGTGGATTTCCAGGCGTCAGTTGCCTCCCTTTCTCTCTCTGCGGTCTCCTTCCGCGTGATTATATCGTCGCAGAATTCAAGGACGGCACCTCACAATCCCTCGCTGTCCACCATAGCGCGAAGCATGGCAGGCAGCGAGAGATCATGCCCCACGATAGACCTCAGCTCTCGGCTATACTGTCTGCAACCTCCGGTTGACAAAAATCCGGATCAGCCAACTACGTCTGCTGTGGTGGCGGGCACCGAGATTTCAGACAAGGCATGTACTAAACAATGTAACCAATTTCAGAATTGTTTCGGCGGGTAAATACCTGACTTACCGCCCCACGCCATAGGCTTTTGGGTGGCGCCATAGGGTTTGCGATAGTGGTCGAACGAATATCTAAATAAGTGATTGACGATAACATAATAGGTAATTTAAATGATATCCCAAAAAGCCTTAGAAGATATGTTAAGTGTATTTTGCACACTTAAACTTAAATGATATTTATGCTTTCAATGTTTTGGGGCATGTTTGTATGGGACGGCAGGTAATGCGAAGTTTTTTGTGTGTATGAAGTGCACGTGCATGCGTCTGAGCGATGTTGAAGCATGAAACATTTGTCGATTCCCCCATATCTGAGCACAACATTAGTAGTGAGAGAGGGGTGAACGCGGGTGAAAACCACGCACCTATAATCGCCGAGGCGTTGGTAAACGTCCGCAGCGGCGGCGGGCTCGCCGACGGCGACGAGGGCTTCCGCGACGTGACGCAGTGGCTCGCTCGAACCCTTGTCCAGCTTGCGAGCCAGCTCAATCAGCCTGTGAGATAAGTTTGAACAAATTGATATTGGCACCAGAAGAACTCACCGCATTAGCCTATATTAACTTGAGCACCTACTTCTGGCCGTAGACAATGTTTCGCGACGATTACCAGTTCAACCCTATATAAACTGAAATATGATTTAGTAGTTTTAAGTAAAAGTTTTGTTTATGACTTGAAAATAACTTGTAATACAAAAATTAAAATCTTGATCTACCTGCATCTCAATTTTTACGATGCGCGCGCACATAAAACCGACACCCTGCAGTTAGCTTAACATCTACGTATGTTTGCGAGAGAACTGACACTTGATTCACGATATTTAAATAAACTTAATTTATCTAGATAATGCGTTATAATAAAACTTGCAATGCATTAAATACCTTTTTTCTATTGTTAATGATGTTTTTCTACAAACGTAGAATAAGGAAAAAGATAGTTTTTGAATAGATTTTTATCTTGTTACGCCAAAGTCACAAGCTAGTCAGGTTTTTCTTAAATCTTATAATTTGGTATCTAAACGTGTTATTGAGTTGTGGAGGATAACTGTTCATTGTACGAGATTCGTGCTCCACGAACGTTTGCACGTATGTCGAGACTATCGACTATCGACTATCGACTATCGACTATCGACTATCGACTAACGACTGTCGACTACGGACATGTCCCTGCGGCCGTTCTCCGCCATCAGCTGGGCGGCGCGGCGCACGTCGCCCACGGCCAGGTACATCTCGGCAGCGGCGCGTGGCTCGCTCACGTGGCGCGCCCACTCCGCTCTACGCCTCGCCAGCGCAGCTAGACCCTCGCCCTCGCCCACCAGCTCCTGCAACATCCGCAGAAGCAACAACAGATTAAATAGCATCCATCATCATCCGGAAGACCGCGATTGAACACGGGCCTCCCCTTACAACGCCACAACGAACGACACTTTGCCATTTGCATCCAACGGTTGCAACATCCGCAGTCGAAGCAACGACTTCTTAAATAACATCCATGATCATCCGGAAGACCACAGTTGAACACTGGCCTCCCCCTATAAAGCCACAACGAACGACACTTCGTTAAACTGTAAAGGGCCCTACGGTCAACAGTGGCTAATCAAAGCAAAAAAAAAAAGACAATTTTCTTTTTCATTTCAAGTTATTCTTCTTTTAGAAGTTTTTATTTTGAAGTTATTTTTTATACCATGACAACTATTAACATTCACATATAACTCCAAATTTATTAAATGAAACCGTTATTAATTGAATTTAATGTCTTTACCAAAAAAGGCTACTGAAATGAGTACTGGCACGAGGTATATATAAACATTTTTAAGTTATTTTTCTTGTTTACGCTGAAGAAGTATAATTTCTTATATTCGTTCATAAGTACACGCATACTTTTTTATTAGGGTTCCATATTCAAAGGGTCAAACGGATATTACTAAGACTTCGCTGTCTGTCTATCCGTCGTCACCAGGCTGAATCTCATGAACCGTGATAATTAGACAATTGAAATTTTCACAAATGATGTATTTCTTTTGCCGCTATAACAACTATAATCAGTATAAAATATATATAAGTGGGGGTCCCATACAACTGACATGGAGTCGTCGACGTCACGTCGCAGGCGTGTCCACTCCGTACAAGCAGAAAAGTTTAGCATACACTGTCATCCCATAGAAACATTCCCCAAAACACAGATATTAATTATTATTATTGATAAATGCACTTTAACCCTTGCCTTCTGTGTTTATTGATTTCAACTCTATCTATTAGTGTTTTTAGGTACCATTTAACCAGGTATTATCAGAGCCTTGTTTCTTTTACAAAGAATCATTGATGGATGCATTCTTCGGTGCAACCTAACCGTTTTGAGTAGTCAAAGTATCGCTTAAAATGTTGACTAAAGAAATGTATTCATTTCGTGTTTTTATTGCCATTTCGTTTCCGTTGTTTTCGTTAGCGTATGTTATTGTCTGTTTTAAGTTAATTATTTAGATTTTACTTCTTTTATTTTTAAAAATATAAAATATGGATAACACCTGTGCTAGCGAAGTATATTTATCTATACAGATAAATAAAATTGGAGTGTCTGTTTGTAATATTAAAATAACCACATTTTACTCAATGCATGTGGCTGTATACACGGTACATAGGTATACCAAAATGTTTTTTACAATTTTTGTCTGTCTGTCTGTCTGTTTGTTACGGCTAATCTCTGAAACAGCTGGACCAATTTGGACGGGACTTTCACTGGCAGATAGCTGATGTAATATGGAATAACTTAGGCTACTTTTATTTTTCAATTTTTTTTATTTTAAATTCCACGCGGACCAAGGCGCGGGCACAGCTAGTATAGAATAAAATTTGTCGCATTACCAAGGTCTTATTTAAAACTAAAAATGTTTTGGTGTAGTTTAATATGTTTTATAATAACAATCAAATTAGAGTGATAATTAAAATATGTGTAAAAAAGCTATTAAAATATTAAATTTAGCAATATTAAAAAAATACATTTGAAATATTTATATTCCCGCCATTTATTATATATTTGTCCAGAAGACACATACCCAACAGCGCAAAAAATGTCTTCTAAAATTGGTAGACTTGCGTAACACTTACGTCATTGTCATTTGAATCACTTACGAATAACGTATTCATGAAAAATAATTAATTATGTCGGTTTGTGCTATCGCGTTTCATCGGTATGCTTTGTAATTTATCCAGTCAAAGAAAACACGATTTTAGTTAGTTATTTCGTAGTTTAGACTGGTTAGCCGGTGTTGTCAGCTTATTACGGTGGGAGGGCCACGCAGCAGCCTCGGCTGTTGCACGAATGGGCAGGCCCGTCCGGGTAAGTACCACAACCTCACAGAAGACCAGCGTAAAGTGGAAGTATAATACTTTCGCGTTTCGTCTGGTGAGTGAGGTGGCCGGAGCCCAATTTTCAAAAGGTTGTCAACGCATCTGTAACCCTCTGGTGTGGCAGATGTCCATGGGCTACGGTATTCACTTAACATCAGGTGAACCGTCTGCTCGTTTGACAACTTTTCGCATAAAAAAAAAAAAAAAAAAAAATTACGAGAACTAGGAAATTTTGGAAAAAACTATGGGAGACAGATATTTGTAATATCTTCACATCATCTTTCGATCAGAACATTATTATTTTAAAAAATTACATTATTTATTAAATAACGGGAAAAAATTAAGTAAATAATTTGGTGCATGCAACCCTAAGCAAGGTAGGTCCGGCTAGGTAAGTCCAACTTCGACGCAGAGATCAATCGGCGAATCCAACTCGGATGGGCAGCGTTCGGGAAACTTCGGCAAATCTTCTCGTCGAATATACCTCAATGTTGAAGACTAAAGTCTTCAATCAATGTGTGTTGCCAGTGATGACCTACGGAACCGAGACGTGGTCCTTTACTGCTGGCCGTATGAGGAAACTCAAAGTCGCTCAGCGAGCTATGGAGCGGGCTATGCTCGGTATTTCTCTGCGTGATAGAGTTCGTAACGAAGACATCCGCAGTAGAACTAAGATAACCGACATAGCTCAGAGGATTAGCAAGCTGAAGTGGCGATGGGCCGGCCATATAGCTCGTAGAACCGATAACCGTTGGGGAAGAAAGGTTCTCGAGTGGCAGCCTCGTACTGGCCATCGCAGTGTAGGACGACCCCCCACTAGATGGAGTGACGACCTGTGCAAATGTGCGGGAAGTCGATGGATGCAGGTGGCCCAGGATCGTGCTTCATGGCAGTCTGTGGGGGAGGCCTATGTTCAGCAGTGGACTCAAACAGGCTGAAATGATGATGATGAACCCTAAGCACGCACATCTTGATAGTTTGCTTACAACAAATACACGAGTGGTACTCACGCGTATCACGCAATCGGAGACAGTTTTAGCGCGTTGTTTATAACATATAGCTCCATCTAGACAAGTATATAATCAAAGATCTCCGCCTAAATATTTGAAACTCTCGACGGTGGGGTTTAGTTCTTGTACTTGTGCTATACTACTGCGGCACGGACTCTCTAAAAACTGCGGCCAAGGGTTCTTCTTTTTTTTTCAAAAAGTGATAAGCAGTGATTAACACTGTCTTAACTATCCCCATTAACATATATTACTTTTTTATTTATTATCCGATATATTAAATCTTTTGATCATTACGTCTTAAACATATAAACTTACCTGTGCCTTACTGAACATCCTCAGGTCCAGATACAAATTGAGGGCGTGATCATCGCGACCGCACGTCAAAAACGAGTTGGCAGCGTCTGTATACTTGCCGCGGTATGCAAGCACTTCGCCAACAACTACGCCGCGTTTCTCGCCCGCCTCGAAACGCTCCTGTATAATTTGAAATAATGAAGTTGAAACAAAAAATAACACTGTACTAGGGCCTGGCAGCAACCAAGTGTAAGCCTCGTAATGGTCATCGCAGTATAGAATGACCCCGCACTAGATTAAGTGACGACCTGTGGAAGTGTGCGGGAAGGACACTTGTATGGACGCAGGTAGCTCAGGATCGAGCTTCGTGGCAGTTTGTGGGGGAGGCCTATGTTCAGCAGTGGACCCAAACATGCTGAAATAATGACATTGATAATGATGATGACTATGATAATGATAAAAAAAACATCAAAATAACAAGCTAATAACAACAAGGATTATGCGTTGTTTTTTTTTTCTATGTCAACAAAAACTCATTCATCCACAGTTACTGCAACCCAATGAGCAACGACAGCTACTAACCTGAGGCCCATCCTGTTTTCTATCTATTGTTACACGAGTGACTCCTCCTCATGTTGAGCTGAGGCCGCTTTAATACTTTCATTTTACATACCCATACCCACATATAGTAAACTAAGATAGAGTAGAGATTTTAATAAAAACACAGTGAACAAGAGGCATACAAACACCAGTTTAACTGAAATACTACTGAACGTCTTATTTTTCGACGATGGAATGAGCAATGAAGTATTAAATTAAATTATACAACTCCTGTGCACACTCTCTAAAATGTAAGCTGTGAAACACTGAGAGGTAAGCTCAGCGCCAGTGCTGGTCTGGTCTAGTCGAAAATATACATATACGGTTTTCTTTAATAGATAGAGTGATTCGAGAGGAAGGTTTATATGTATAATTCATGCATAATGTTGTAGAGAAACACTAATAATTTTAGAGGTTTCTAATGCGATGCCGAGAACAAACATTCAGCATTGCACCCGTGCGAAACCGGGGCGGATCTCTAGTGTGGGACAAGAGCAGTTTCGTTGGCAAATTGAGCTTCGTGTGATTACCTGCAGTTGATCGATGAGGGTAAGGTAGGTGATGTTCTCGCTGCGTTGGAATGCCTTCCTAGCCACTTCAAATGCGAGCTCATCAGTTGCCGCCATCCCTAGCCTTTCCCAGTCCAGGGCCGTCACTCCTAAACACGCCACCGCATATGCGTCGCTGCAAGTTGTTTAAGGTAAAGCCTCATTATCTTATTTTATTCAATATTTCTCCTGATGCACAAGTAACTTCGCGTGGGATGTCAGTTCTCTGTATAAAAAGGAACCTAATTTAAAGTCGCAAATATTTTCTTTAAATCTTCTGAATTCACAATTTTTTACAATAACTGTTACAACAGTTCCTGTAGAAATATTATTTATTAAATTCGTAATACTATGTCCAAATTAGCTGCCTTCAAGGTATGTGGATACTAGCGTTGTTTGAAAGTCTAGTCTATATAAACACTTGTATTCATCTATAATATAAATAAAAGCTTTTTTGGTTATGAATAATTTTATGTTACTAATTGCATTACGCCGACTAACTTTGAGATGCTCATTTTTTCATGGTGATTATCATCATCATATTTTTAAAAATCCTCAAAGCAATAATGCTCACTTAAACATCTTCTTCTGAACATACTGATGCACCGCGTGTGATAGTGGCACGTTGATCGTTTGCATCGCATTCGCTTGCAAACAAAACACACGGCCACCCTGAAAGGGCAGAAGGGCCTTATTAAAAATGGAATCTCGACTTGCATCACCAAATAATTTACATGAAATCCTTTGCCATGAACGCACAAACAAAAAGGGGAGAGAAAAGAAATTCAACACACTCACAAACACACACACACATACACGCACACGCGCGCCTACCAGTCCGGTCCACCCGTTCCTGAGAAAATTGGACACAAGGACAGACGGACAAGAGAGTGACAAGAGAGTGTACGGAACCCTCAAAATTGTGTTTGTGTGTCTATAAAGAATCATTATACATCAATTTAATCATATGCAAGATTTTTTGGACTTTCCGTTATAGTTTTTGGCACGGAATAGTCAATGTACAATCATCATACAATAACTAAGTAACAAATAATATAAAGGTTATGTTTTCACACATCAGGTGAATCACCAGCTCGCTTTCCACATTCCACATAAAACAACACAACCACAACTATATTGATCCACATCTAAAAAGAAAATAGAATTAACAAAATTTTACTTTACATTTTCGTTATAAACCACATAATCTTCATTGGAAACCGTCGCGCCTTCTCGGAACCAGCTAAACACAGACAGACCACAAGAACAGACAGAGCTTTAGATGAGTAACAAATTAATGACAGAATAACAGAGATTCAGTTGAAGTGCTTAAACGGTGAGGTTAACCATTCAATTAATCTTCTGTGTGTGAAAAGTTACCTGAAATCCGACCACAGAGCCCACCAAAGGCTGCGTAGCCGCTGGGAAGCTGCCGGCCTTAATAGACAATGAGCCGCCGCCTGACAAGCAGAGCAACTCGTCGCACAACGAGTTCCAAGACACTGAAGAGACGTTCTCCTCCTGAAAAAAAAAAAGCAATAGATAATATTTCAGAACCTATTTTTACATAACGTTATTTAATGCCAAACAAAGCCTGTGCTATGGATATTGCGTAACGTATAAACATTCTTAAACGACCTTAACCTTTTTTTGTTAATGAATAGTGTATAAACACATTATGTTAATCAAAACATTTTTACAGATCGAACCCACACCCTCCGGTGACTTTCGATATCCACGACGCCAATCGGGTTGTCTAAGTAATCAAAACCTTAATGTTTTTTTTTTTGTTTATCAGCTATCAGCTGAAGGTCCACAATAAATTTTTCCATTACATGTACCATGCAGAAAAGTCATGTGCAGTAATATGCATCGATCCTTCAGTCTCATTATTTTGTAATGGGCACAAAGTCTTCATAGTTATGCGCCCTTATATTATCTTTAAATTTTAAGTGCTTAAGAAACTTGTCTTGAATTTCCTCTATGTCATTAATGTGAGTTATGTAATGCGGGTTCCATATAACACTACAATATTCTAATATGCTTCTGACATATGCAAAGTAAAGTATTTTAATAAAACTAATATCGGAAAAAGGCGAAGTGACACGAAGCATAAATCCAAGACTTTTGTACGTAGAATTTATAACTCTTTGTAAATGCTCGCAGAAACTTAACTTACACGCACGCACGCACGCACGCACGCACGCACGCACGCACGCATACACAAACACACAACACACACAAACGCGCGCGCACATACGCATGCACAATGTGTGCGCACCTCAGCTTGCTTTACATTTTTACTTTTTTTTTTTCATTTTAGATATTTACTTTGTTACATTTTTTTAAACACTGCTTACTCATAAACTGCTCCATTATTATTTTATATATACATTCTAACTAGCTGCTGCCCGCGACTACGTCGGCGTAGAATAGGCTGAAGGCGTAACATTTAGACGGAAAGACAGATATACCTAAAATATGTATATAAATTATAGCCTATGTCTTATTCTGATGAATAAGGTATATTATTGTAAATTTTCATTAAAATCCATTCAGTAGTATTTTCGTGAAAGAGTAACAAACATCCATCCATACATACAAACTTTTCCGATTATAATATTAGTAAGGACTATAAAATGTAAATCCTTTCTTGGCTGTAAGTTAAGCATATGTGATATACATGTTAACAGTATATCACATAATATGCTTAACGTACATGCTGTGGGTTTTGTTGCTATCAATAAAAAAAATTAAAAAAAAATTAATATTGAGGGTATTGGAGAAATTTATTCTTCCCAGAAACGTCCATAGGGAAAACGGTGCGTTCCCCAGTACATCACAGAGCTAAAGTGTTTGAGCTGCGTCAGTAGTCAGACACAGAGCGCCACACTGAGCTTCGAGCAAATATCCACAAGCAACTTCCGATGAAGGCGCTCATCGACGGTGTTGTAGTTCTATACACTGCTTCGACAACACGTAGCGCCTCATAGTAATCATCATGCTGAACATAGGCCTCCCAGCATACTTCCAGGAAGCAAGGTCCTGAGCTACCTGGATACATCGGCTTTCAGCACATTTGCACTCCCTATAATAAGGGATGATGACTCCATCGTAGATAAGTCGAAGGCAGGTGATGTGTTCGCCATTGATTCTAATACCGTGTCCTTTCCAATCCAGAATCGTGGAAACATCTTCCAATGCGGCGATGAAAATTTCGGAGGTCGGATAAGTTTTGTTGCCGCTGAACTGACACCGTGGCCTTGTTATGCAAACACCTTAGCACATATCGAGATATACCGACAATCAAGTTGGCATCGCAGAGGGCCCCCAAGTACCGTCCAAAAACCGGAAAACGAGTACATAAAGAATCCTTGTTAGAAATCACTCTGTGCACTAAGGGTAGATAGATAAAAAAAATAAGCCGCGATCAGAGGACGAGCGAGTTACTTACTACGTACAGGAGCTCGGCCGTCGGCAGGCAGTAGACCCGGCACACGGACGAGTCATCGACGACCGCCAAACGGCCCCGCGACGCGCTCACGTCCACGCACCTCACGCCGGAGGGCGTCGCCAGCACGACTTCCGCTTCGCCCTCGTTCGGTTCAATTTTCCAAATCTTCGACAAGAACACTCCTTATCATTTTTTAGAAACGCTTAACGTAGATGAAACATGACGAGAGAATTTTGACGTAAGTATTATGGAGTAAATGTCTAATACTTGTCACTAGTAACCAAATCTATCTGTAAATAGAATAATGAAACTGGCCGTGAAGCGCCTGGGCGCGAAACGTGAATTCGATTCCCGCAGCGTGGTAAAACTTTTCATCTATTTTTCTACTAGTTTTAAAAACACCTTATTACTTAAACTCATTACCTAGTGTCTACTATTTAGGTGGTGTGTAGTGATGGGCCATCGCGCGAGGTTCGTTGACGCGCCGCGTAATCTATCGATAGGGCCGTATCATGGAAGGCTTTCGAAAATGTACACAGATGATCCCTATAATATCTTTTATAGACCATGATTGTATTTTAGTTTTATATTATAATAGGAATAATAATAAACAAAGAAATATAAAGTATGAGAAAGCAATCAACAATTTTAGAAAATCTTCCTCCTCTTTATTATAATTTTTTAATTAAATGGAAAAGGAATTGATTAAAAACACAAGATGTGTTTTTAATCAATTCCTTTTCATTAAAGTCAAATAAATTAATAAAGGCAAATTACTTATAATTTTTATTTTTGTTTTTATGGTTTATATTGTGATTTTAAAGAAGTGGCTCATCAAATTTTTGCAGAAATTACGAATACATTTTTTTATTAAATTTTTTTTATATATTAGGAATGTTCAAGACCTACTATCTTATATTACTTTTTCAACTAAAATGAAATTTAAAAAATGAAATTTTAATACTAAAAGTTGGTTTATTTACTGATAGATTGTTCTCCAACTGTTTCAACTTTGACAATAATATTTCATTGTAATTATTTATGAAAATAAAAAATCAACAATAATTAAATGGTAATGAAGAAATACTTCCAAATAAGTACATAAAAAAAATTTAGGGATTTGAATCCAATCCATAAAGAATAATGGTCCTATACACTGTATGTACAGGACTGATAGACCAATCAATCACGAGATAAGACATTGAAATTATGCTTTAAATAAATTAATTAACAACTGTTAATACATACAAATAATTTATAAATACGAAATATGTGAATATATATTTATTAGTGTCGTGTTTTCGAAGGTCTAATAAAATTAAAACTCTCAATAATAAATAAATACGAAACATATTTCGTAACAGTGAGCGGGCGATGAGCGGCATAGGTCCATCTAGCAAGGCGCCTCAGCGCTCTCTGTTTAACGTGTGGAGTTGGAAGAGAACCGAAACAACGCCGCGGTAGCGCGGTGTTTTGCCCATCGCGTTCGAATTAATTTTAATGAATTAAATTAATATTTACAAATGTATTACTTCAATCAACAAATTAAGACAACAGTCCTTTTTATTAATATATTCTACACCACTGATATTAATTTCATTAAGATTTGTTCATTTATTATATCTATTTTTTTATTTCAATTTCACGTTTAAAGTTAGGTTGGTGATTTTTTATATCGAGAAAATATATCGAGAATATGTTTTGAAAACAATGGTCCATTAGAATGTAAGATCAAGATTAACATATATTTTTTTTTGCTTCTATAAAATGTATAGATTTGTTAAAAATTTTTTTGAAAAACCTATTTTTACTGCATACAGCGCCTTAACATCAGACCTGCCCGCTTGGCAACGTCTCACGTAAAAAAATGGTAAATGTACAGATAACACGCTTTTACGTTATTTATTTCGTAGTATAATATACAGCGTGTCTTTACAATGGCGACAATAAATGAACACACATATAGGGGATAACTTTTTAAAATTGTATTAAACATTTACATTCTTTAAACATCAACATTTACAGAGTTATTAAATTTTCTAAAACAAAGAATTTTAGAACACCCTTACTTATAAAACTGTAACGTAAAGTTCATTTGTAAAGGTCACAAAGCATATGAATGGGTTGAATGAATTTAAAAGAGACAAAACATACTGTTAGAAGGAGAGGCTTGTAATACTACGCTGTGGCGCGAGTTACATAGGATGTTACAAATTTTGTTTCTTTTTACTTAATTAGTTTGTTTGAAAAATATTTTGTTTAATGTTAATATTTTTTTTATGATTATTGGCAAGTAGCGTTAGACGTGTTATCATTTATTGTCGCGATGGTAACGACACGCTGTATATGTCTAAATTACTGAAACTGTTAGTCAGTAGTGATGTAACAAATGTAACAGTAATTATTCACAATCGCGAATTAAAGTCGTGGCGTCTAAAAAACGAAATGAGTTGAGCCGATAAAGGTAGAAACGAACGAAATTAGTCGCATAACGTTCATACGAAAAAAATTTTTTTTATGATTTGAGGTTAATTCAGTATTATTACATGTATAACATTTATCTGAACAAAAAAGTGACAAAGTGATTTAGAAACATGTTAAGGAAATTTTACCGTAGTTCACATTTTATGAAGCTGAAGATGCGAAATGCAAGTTATGTGATAAAAGTACTAGCGCAAAGGAATGACCGCTATTGCTATGAGGAAAACTAGAATTAAACAAAAATGATAATAATAGATAAAAAAATACGAAAAAACGACACTAAATTACACGTTGGCTAACAAACAAAACTAGCTGCATAACAACGCTAATTGGTTATACTTAACCAATATAATAATACAAAATAATTTTATAAATATAATAATCTGCTAAATATATCCATACCTATTATTATCTTAACTAGATCTCTTTTTTACGAAAGATATTATAATTGACAATGAGATTTTTTTAAATGTATGGAAGGACATTAATCATTTAGTTTTTAGTAGACGAAAAGTGACGGTATTATAAATTTGGTTGCCTACGTCAAGAACGTTCCATGATAGCTTTTCTCAAACGTAAGTTAATAAAAGAACTAAATCTCATCAATTGTATTATCATTCATTACATATTCATCAAAATATAATCTCCTTTTTGCTTTTCACATTAATTTGCATTCGTAAGAAACGATGACAAACATTGGCATCGTTTCTTGCGAATGCCTAGAAATTTGCAAATATTCGTTACATTTTTATTTGAGATCTGGCGGTTCTCAAGAACATTTGCAACACCCATAGCAGATTGCCGATGTGTTGCCACACGTTACTTCACTGTCCAGACCAAAACGCAGAACACATTCGAGCAACAGCAATGACTGTTGCACTAATGGGTTCCATCAGCGTAGCCCTACCATAGGAAAACATCACTATTAGTCAGTTTCAGTTAACGTATATGAGGATCACATATGAAAACGGTTTCACTTACTTGACCATTAAGCAATCCCAAAAGGAGAACCTCCTTGAAGTATAACGTTGTGACTTTGACGTAGCGTATTGGGGCTGGAAACGACCAGGACTTAGGAGTACGCTTTCCAATCATTGACAGTTTGTTGTCCTGTACAGAATTTCTATATAAATACAAGCAAATTGAGAACGATATATTTATTAATTTATTCCCAAACTTCAAAATTACTATGTCGTAGCGTCCTCTAAACACCCGTTTCTTTCATGATCATTTTATAGAAGTACATGGGAGATATTTAAATGGTTCAATGATTTCAAGATTTTCAAATAATGTAAAAAAGAAAAATCAATAATGGGATTAATAATGTCAAAAAGATTTTGAAGGTTAGAGAAGGCGCACTCGTTGCTATCACTGGGGATGCCCTCTCTTGGTGACAGTCCTGTTTTGTTCATTCATAAGGATAACTTCTTACTCATTATCCTTTGAATAATAATATAGGATGTCAGCATCGGTGCAGCGTAAAAATAGACTTTTATATGTGAGAAGGGGACATAAGCGTATATAGCAGGGGGGCCGGGTGGGCCATGCCCACCCCAGTATTATCTAGTGCCCACCCCAAGATTTTAGGTTACTGATTCGGAATTCTAGGCTGGATACCTAAGAATCTTCAAATAATTCATTGAAAGCAAATTATTATCTACAGCCGAGAAATTTATGTACATCTGTGTCCATAGTTTTCACATTCCGTTTATTGACTTGTGAAGACACAACGTACTAACTACTGATTAGTCAATACTACTATTATAACTTAATAAAAATTATTAACGATAACAAACTGTTACTTTTTTTAATGCGGCACATAGTAAGGCCCAGGCCCACCCTGAAAAATAATTCTAGATACGCCAATGGAAGGTGCCAAGCGAGCTGGCGGCTCCCCTGATGTTATTTGCTTTTAACAATGTTTTATTAGTGAAAAATATGAAAAATATTTATTACAGCAAAATATAAAACACAGTTGTTATGACAAATAAAAATAAAACAAATCAAAGTATTTTGCTGACGACGGATTGAATCACTTAGTATAAATATGATTTCCATTAGTTTCCTCACTAGGCAAGCCTGTATCGAGGAAACCGAGATACGAAATGACATAATTATTGGTATATAATGGTCAGATTATAATTGCAAATTATACAAATTAAAAATTACTGTTACAAAATTACTAATTACTACTACAAATTAAAAATCTAGAAACTTATATCTAAACTACACTAAAAATAACAAAGCTTAATTATTTGCATTCAATTCAATATGTAATGTATATAACACATATTTTATAAATATATATACATAATGTAAATATCTTTAATAATATATATAGAAGACAAAATATATAAATAATACTTATTACTTATCACTGTACATTCAAAACCAGGTCTTCAGTTCTATCATATGTTAGGGAATTGAGCCAATTAGTTAATAACAATTTTACTTTTTTGGATGTTTTTTCTTTTAAGTTACAATATTTTGTTACATTGTTATATTTATATGAAATTTAATGAAGTTACCAAACCTCTGTGTGAAACTTGTGTTGACTAGCGGAGTAGTGAGTTTGTAAGTTCTGCGACTGGTAATTAGATTATATTCTTTGGCTAATATTGTAATGTACTGTAAGAGATACTTTCAAAATGTACAGCTGTCGAACACTTAATACATTTGCTACCTCGTACAGTTGGCTGGTCTGGTATCAATACGGTTTTTGTAGCATTGATTTAAGTACAGTACGCTGCGCCCTCTCCGCTTAAATCATATGCGTTTTTGCAGCACTACCACAGCATGTTATGCAATAGCTTATGAGGGACTGGCAAAGTGCATAATACACAGTCTTCAAGGTGAGGTTAGGTTAGGTTATTAACAGGTGGGGCATTCCACGCGAAGCGGACAGGTAAAAAAAGTTGATGTCTCAAATTTTAGTAATATTTGATTATGTTATAACTATATGTGCCCTCAATCCAGATACAAAATATTTTTTCAGTATAAAATGTAGTTTACGATTTAGAGAGCTTTAAAAATGTGACTAACCCGCAGGTATGCGCCACTTCGAATCCCATTATCCGGTATTGAAAAGATAAATGGAAATAAATGAAGTAGTCAAGTGTATGCTTAATTTAATGAGCTTTCTAATTGCATTTTTGGACATTAAAAAAATATTTTTTTTGGAAAAAAATCATGTTTAAACTTTTTAAACTTGAATTTCACAAAGTTGGACCACTTTAATTTTTTTTATTTTTTTTCTAAACTAGTTAATAGTGTATAGATAGTCCTTGCCAAGTTGCATAATGGGCCGAGAAGTCCTTTAGGAGCTAGGCCATCTACAGTGTCAAAGGGTAGCGCCGTTGCCCGGATCGCGCCTACTGCATTTTCCCCTTACGAAAACTAAACTGTTTAAAAGAGAGTAAGTCGTATTTTTCGAGAAAATTAGCTAGGCGTTAACTGATAACCGCCGCTCATGGCGGCAACATTTGCAACACCCGTAGGGTTACAGATGCGTTGCCACCTTTTAATAAAGCCGGCCCCGGTTACCTAACTCACTAGTCTACTCTATGCCTGTCCTTTGTAAGGTCATCGGTGCAACTTCGTGCTTTTCTAAAAACTTTCGTCGATGATGCACCACAGTAATTGTAATTATGACTGTGTTAGCCAATGATATCGTGGCCAGCATTTTGCATTTAAAAACGCTTGATGAACATAAACGATAAAAAACAGCTATAATTTAAATTAAGGAAGGCCTTCTCAAATTGTAATAATATATATCCATACCATAAGATATATTTTTAAAATTCTATTTTACTTAATTTGTTTGAATCAACTATTTTATTTAAAGGTTAAAATTGATCTTAACACCTCAAAAACGTCCCATTGACAATGTTGGTAACATTGCAATTAGATGCCAGTAATGAAAAATATAGTTATAATGTATTATTGTAGCTAAAAGTTGTAATAGAGGGAAAATTATGCCCATCAATTATGACAAAAATTAATGAATACGCCAATTATTCTACTGATCCGGCCTTCCCTCCATTTCATTGGATTTATTCTGGTTTAGTCAGAAAAAGGAAAAGCACCAAACATCTTTAAGCAAAACAGCAATATTATAAGTCTGACCTCATTGAACTTAACGGTGTATTACAATTTACAGTTCATCAAAAATATTAAGATACATAAGTGTAAGACTCTCGCCCCCTGCCACCATGCACAAAAGCGGACTACTACATACATACATATACGTTTTATATATAGAAAAATTATATAAAATATTGGCCAGATCATAATTATTGTAACTATGTGTGAATGTAAAAACCTACAAAGTGTAAAATTCGCAATAAATTAACATTCGCAATAAGAAAGTAAGAAATTGCAACAGCTTAGTTATTAAAATACATCAAATTGTATACAATACATACAGTACCCGGAGGACCGAGCTTTGCTCGGTTTGTTTTTTTTTTTTTGGTAAATCGTGTATTTTGGAAATTACATTTAGATACAAATTATTGAGTAATGAAATATGCATAATATTTTTCGATCTTACCGACGTAATAATAAGAAAATATGAACTGATCTTTTTCACAAAAGAAAGAACTTTAAAAAAAAGGGAAAAAAATAACAAAATCGACAAAAAATTAAAAATATAGAAAACAATGATCTGGAATCGAAAAAAAAAGTAAAAAATAAATGTGTAAATGATCGTGACGCGAACCACGGCCGTCTGTTTCGAGGCCGCCCGATTACCGACCGAGCTATTATGACATTTTCTCTTGCGGCGAAATTTACCGTCATATTCGAATTATATTTTTCATTTCCTGAAAACAGGGATTAAAGGACATTTTCTAAAAATGAAACCTAGCTAGATCGATTTTTCGCCCCCGAATCTATGCACATACTAAATTTCATGAAAATCGCTGGAGCCGTTTCCGAGATTCTTTGATTCTTATTCCGATTATATATATATATATATATATATACAAGAATTGCTCGTTTAAAGGATAAGATTAATAATAGATATATTCTAAATTTAAATAAGCTTATTCAACATATTGTAGTGCAATGATATACTTTTTTCTGAATAACAGTAACATTAAAACCAATGGTGCATACAAAATATCAAGAATACCTTATGATTGTACACCAGCATGAAAATAATTGTACACCACAATGAATTATGTATGCAATATGATAAATTTCAATATAAGGCATCATAGAAAATGTTGCCTTTTATTGAAAAAGGTGTTTAGTAAATATTGCAGGAGTTCTCAGATAGAAAACATATTTGTACTACAAGCTACCTAAAAAAGGTACCCAGCTTTGGCTTATTTTCCATTAAAAATAACTGAAGGGAATTTTGAGTAACAAATAAAAAGACATCTTTACCTGACAAAGTAACAAAGCATTGCTTGTTGCTATGAGGAGTGAGCATTCAGATCTTTGTGGTACCTTCTCCTTAACACGATACTGCATTCCATCTGCATCACCTTGCTCATAAACTACCACCCTCTCTGGTAGTTGCACCTGTAAATGTTCACAACAGTTTTACATTTAAATAATAATAAATAAATGACTGATGAATTAAGCATTAACTGCAAAGCCTAGGAAAAAAGAAAATCTCATTAAATTCACAAGTACCGACTTATATTTACATAAATCCTTACTAATATTATAAAGGCGAAAGTTTGTATGTATGGCCATCCATAGTAGTAGTATTTGCGTGAAAGAGTAACAAAAATCCATATGTTTGATACTCTTTCACGCAAATACTACTGAATGGATTTTAATGAAACTTTTTTAATTATATAGCTTATACATCAGAATAAGACATAGGCTATAATTTATATACATATTTTATGTATATCTGTCCTTCTGTCTGAATGTTACACTTTCAGACTATTCTATGCAGACCTAGTCGCAAGTAGCAGTTAGTGTGTCATATACTTAATATTATGGTTACATAACTAAGAAGAAAAAAAAAACAAAATTTAAATTTTTCAAAAAAGGACAGTTAAAAATTTAATTTCTAATTTTCATCATCTAAACAAAATAAAAGGTATAACAAAATAATATTGAACATTAATTATATCATTTATTATGTCTGTGGGTTATTATATCTGTGGGTCGCACAAAGAGTTTGTTCCGTGTGGGGGACGCTGAAGTCATTACTTTTGCAACTGCGCCACGGAGTCCTCAAAATGTCTTACAACTATTCAGATTATGTACATGTCTAACAACTTATTTAGAATACGTTCTAGTGGAATTGAATTAAAAAGATCACAAAATTTAGTAACATATCAATCTATTTATAAGGCAAACATATAAATAAATATATGATTAAAAAAATACAAATATTATAATTAAAAAAAGTAAAATAAAGTAACGGCCTATACATTTCCCACGGCTGTGCAAAGGCCTCCTCCGTACAGAGAGTATGAGGATATAGTCCACCACAAGGCCCTACTGCGGATTGGAGAACTTCACATATTTTCGAAAATAGGCATAGTTCCTCACGATATTTTCCGTCACAGCCGAGCAGCATTTAAAATTAACAATTTCATTGGTGCCGGCATCGAACTCAGGTTGCTCGAGTATATTGAATTAAAGGCGAGCGCCCGGAGATGGTGCTATCACGGCTCGATATTATAATTATACAGCTATTATAATTTTATCTACAGAATAAAACAACTGGGCCTTACAATTCCATAAGAATAATCAAATATATATTTACGTATTACTCACGGCAAGCCGATGCTTATAAATTGCGATCTTTTGCACGCGGTCGTGACATTTGATTCGAACTTTGTTACCCGTTGTAAGATGTTGTATAATAACATCTGTTATATTCTCTCTATAAGCGTATCTTTCACGATATAGGCCATGTACTGTACTGAAAACCACCTGGTAGCACCATAAACTTCCATCTTGGCATGCAACTGCCTGTAATTATTGTATAGATAATTAAAGATTATTGTATAGATGATATATATATTAATACTACACATTTGTAATTCGTGCATATTATTAAAATTGTAAAGAATTGTAATAAGTGCGAAACTATAAAATGCAGACCTTTATTTGTTTCACACTAATTACAATTCTTTGGGTAATTTAAAAAAAATAGTTTTCCTACTTATTACATAAAATTGTATTATATTTTATTATTTATGAAAAGTATTAGTTGTGTATTCGATATAAATTTTACTTACAGTATTTTACAAACAGTATTTATATTTATAAAAGGCAAAATTGAAAATGACAAAAATTGACTATGTCGAGCTAGGGGAATATTTGCCAAATGGTGACTAACCAATGTGTTGTGTGACTTTGATGGAGTAATAGCCCAGACCCATTCTTGTTGAGTGCTGAGCATGCTGATACCCTCATTTGTGAGCACAGCCCAACCACCCATGCCTCCGACAAGCACCACCGCATCGAAAACCGACAAGGATAACGCAGATATTCCTAAAATATTTTAAACTATTTCAATTACTGAATAAACAGTATTTACAGGTTTACTTTTTCACATTTGCGTACTATGGTACTATTTAATTAGCATAAACTTAGTTGAAATAAGTAATAATTATAATATTAAATAATTTATAAAGAACTTAATTTTTCCAAAATTAAAGAAATTTATTTTAAGTGTGTAAAAGTGGCAGCAGAGTTGCTGATGTGATACAATATAATCAAGATATTATTTGTCACAATTTCGCTTTATAAAAGCGCAAGTTTTCAATTGGATGTTAGATGACAGAAAAATGCATTTCTGCATTTTTTCACAAAAAAATATTCCTTCACATTTTTCGCAGTCTGCCTCTCTTATGTTAACTTACCTATATTCCTATCTTTCAGTACTTGTTGACCCTGCACATTATAGAATGACAGTGTATCATTCCAATCACTGACTAGAAGAGTAGTTTTTAAAAATGTTACTGCCCAAACGGGGGCCTCTCTTTGTATTAATTGCACTTCATCTCCTATCTGAAAGAGTTATTGAGTTATATTTTATAATTTCATACCATAAACACCACCAAAAACAAGCTTATGAGATGGTCCCTATAATAACTTGATAAGGAGGATAAGGACTTGTTGTTGTGTCTCACAGCAACATTAACCTATTACATTAAATATGTATATCATTCTTAATCTACCGTAAAACAACATTTGTAAAAGACATTTATATCTATATACACACTCACAAATATTTACTCACACACATGTGCTCATACATGTGTGTGAGTGTAAATATGTTTAGGGAATAACATTTGCATTTCCTACCTTATTCCGCAAGGATACAGCACCAATGGCTAGCCCTATTGCCAAAAATTGACCATTAGATGACCAAGCGCAACTTGTTATCCGCCCAGTTACTCTGTATTTCTGAACAGCTTTGACATCAGCAGACCAAAATGCAAAATCAGACAATGCACAAGATGCCAAATGCAGGGAGACTGGATTGTATGCAAGGCATTGGATGGGTTCACTATGGCTGAAAGAAAACCATAATATAGAGATGTTTAGGGAGTTTAAAAATAAACACCTCAAAATTAAGGACAACACTTATTTTTAACTATTTACCTAACACTTATTTTTTTGTAAAGATTAATTGTCTAAATCTCATTTTAAAATAAAATATTTAGCATAATTATCAAAGCTTTATTGTATTAATTAATTTTACAAAATGTCGGTTACATTTTGTAAAATTATAAGATAACCTTTTATCATCTTCATCCCCCTTTATCATTTATCCCACCTAAATAGGGCAGAGCAATGAATCAAGTTGTTAGGGGTACTGGCTTAATGTTTTGTTCATGCTTTTACACCTAACTCCTCTTTTACTCCTTGGGAAGAAACAACAGATCCCAAAAAAATATTTTTGGGTGACACAATACTTATCCATTTGGGAGTCAAGCTCACAGCCCCAGTATGGAAGTCAATACATTAGCAACTCTGCCCCCGAGTCAGCTGTATAAGTTTTAAGTAATAGTGATCATACTTATGAAGAGAATTATTGGACAATACCCACTTAAAACATCAGTGTTACGAAAAATAATGACAATTATAATTGTACTGCTTAATGAATGGCTATGCATTGTAAAATATTTAAAACTGTTCCATTATAAACTTTCTACCAACCCACATATTTTGGATCATACATGTTCAAGCAATGCTCAGCACATTAAGAGGAGCATCAGAACAAAAACAGATAAATCACATTTTAACAGTTTTTATTTTAAGAATGGCAATTGGTTGTTTACATACATATCTATAGCCATTGTGTGTCAAATCTATTTATAAACAACTAAATTGTCTTTAAAATCTTTTTCAAAACACACTATTCTGAACATAAACCTATAAATCAATTGAATTGTTTCATGATTGGAACATACTAAGACAAATCCTTAGAAATTATCATGGGTCATGCATTTGGTTGGTTAAAATCCAAAAAATCCATATCCCAAGATTCTTAGGATACACAGGGAAGTTTCATTACTGGGTCCAGGAGTTTAAAGAATGTCAAACTAGAAACATTTTATAAAGAAACAAGAAGAAATGCAATATTTAAAACAAATACATCTAAAAAAATATGATGTTATACCAGAACATACATGTTGTTCTGAATTAAAACTGATAAATCCATTTTTTTTTTAATTTCTCATCACATATTGCACACATAAATCTGTGATTTGGATATCAAAACTGTGTTACTAAGATAAACACTTAAACTTGGTTCATCTCTAAATTGGAAATCCATAGACATATGAATTATTTTTTGTTGAAAAAATGTGATATGTGATATATCGGTTTTTGTTCTGGCGCTCCTCAATTATTAGTAGTGTTTCCTTATAAATTACAATGAATGTGGTTCTAATCATAGTTTATTTTATTTGTTTTTGTAGAGAGCCAAGGTCAAAATTTTCTTTCTCTCTTGGAATTATGGCAATAAATAAATAATTCGCAAGAAAAATATTTTAAACTTACGAATACTTAAGGACACCCTCCATTTTGGAAGTCCAAATAATAACATTTTTGTCAGCGCTTCCACTTGCAAATTTCTTGCCATCTCCACAGTACGCTACAGCATAGACCGCTGCTTTATGAGCTTGCAGTAATTGTACCAGAGCTCCATCTCGAGGGTCATAGACCATAACTTTTTCACCAGCACCAACAACAAGCTGTGTTCCATCTGGATTAAAACATATATCGTGGACACTGCAAATTATACATAATTTATGAAATAAAAGAATAAATAATTTCAATTCCTGTTTCTTAATTATTTAACTATTCAATGTTCCCAAATCTGTATAACTCACAGTTATGTGATAAAATAAAAATATGAAAAGGAAACCTAGATATTAGATAAAATGTACATTTAAATAAAAGGTAAATTAACCAATTGCATAAGTTTAACTGTGTGCTTAACAAATAATTACAAAATTGTACCTAGACGGTTCAATTTTATCAGCTTCATGGATTTTGTTTACCCATTTTGGGATAGTTCTCATTTTTTTAAACTTGATCTATTAAATTTTGCTAAGACAATAATAAACTAAAGCACAAACATATCTTTTAACTAAAGTTATTGACTTTTCGATAGGTAAAATGTTTTGGTTGACAACAGCGTTCTCAGAAAATGTAAACAAGCAGATCCTTGGAAACGAGCTTTTTTTAAACTTAAATGTCAACTCATATTTAGTAAAAAAGGAAAAACTAAATGAAAACAAGTACTAGGTACACGTATATAAATACTAAGTGTAAAAAAAATCATTTCCTAGGAATACTATGTTTATATTAAATCTAATTTAAACGCAACAGAAATAAAACAAGATAACTATAAATATAGCGGGCGATAGGGATTAGACATCGGCATAGACATGGGCCACGGGCAAAAAATATCGATATATAAAAATATCGATATTTTTCCAAATGAAAATCGATATATATCGTCGATATTTTTTCGCGATATATCGCTATTCGATATTTATTTATGACTATCGAATTCGTGTCAATTTCGATATATTTTTAACGCAACTCTGGTTTGGTGTTGTTATTATGTGTGTGCACGATAATACTTTTTTTAATAAAGATTACATGGCCTGGTAACAAGACCTGTGAGCCAATACTTATATCAGTTTGCATAATTTGATTTAACGCGACGTTCAATGAGCCCAAATCGTTAAACTGATTAATATTTCACAGTTTCATTTATAATACTATACTTAATTTACAGTACTGATTAATATTTTACAGTTTTGTAAAATTAAAATAAAACTTTCTTAAAAAAAGGGAAATTCAAAAATGGCCCTTAATTATCTAATTTGCTAGGCTTCTTCGGTGTCTTCAGAAAAAGTTGCTTAAGCTCATAAGCTGTGAATCTGACAGTACATAAGCTGCTTGTTTTTTTTCTAGTGAAGGTCTTGGTCAATAACATACCTAGAAATTTAGATTAATAAAAGAAATTTGATTATAATTAATAAATAATTAATGATTAACATACCTTCGTTTTATTAAAAATTTCTCATACATTTAAATAATGTAAATTTGGTGTAAAAAGTGCTAGTACTTATTATTGAATTAGACAGACTTTTTTTAAACCGAAAATTTGACCGATATATCGATACATCTGTATATTTTTTCGATGTATTAAGACCGATATTGAGATTTTCGTGAATACCAATATTTCGATATATTTCGTCACTTTTGGCATCCCTAGCTGGCGGTGGCGTTTAGCTTTCATAATTAAGGCAACCATCATAAACTTTCTGCCAAATTACGATATTATAATCGTTTGTTTACTAGGAGCTCGACCAACTGCGTAAAAATAAAAATAAACACCGTATCATCTTGCACCACGCCATTACGAGTTCGCACACGGCTATGTAGAAAGACAAACAAACGAATTTTTGAAGGTGAAAAACGTAGAACTAATAAGCCATCCTGCCCGACTTAGCACCTTGTTTCTGTTCCTAAAAATTAAGAGTATTAAAATCACATTTAAGAGGTCACCACGGAGGAGTGGCCCAATTGATTTTAAAATTGGTTTAACTGTATGAAAAACTGCATTTACGCAAAGGAAGAATATTTTATATATTTCATATTCAAAACGGAAGCATTTATGGCGCCCCACGTAATCTTCCATTTCAGCCTGTTTGAGTCTACTGCTGAAGATAGGCCTCCTCCATAGACTGCCACAAAGTACGATCCTGAGCCACCTGCATCCATCGACTTTCCTTATATTTGCATAGGTCGTCACTCCATCTAGTGAGGGCGAGGCTCGACGAGGCTGCCACTCGAGAACCTTTCTTCCCCAACGGTATCGGTTCTGCGAGCTATATGGCCGGCCCATCGCCACTTCAGCTTGCTAATCCTCTAAGCTATGTCGGTTACCTTGGTTACGTAATACGTGAAGCAAACTTTGTACCCCTTTAATGAAAATTGTGCGGACGGAGGAGTATGAAATTTCCCACAAGTATAGTTTATGTTATAGAGATGAGTGCAGAATTAGCATTCTGCATGTTTTTTTGTAATTATGCATAAAAAATTAAATCAATAAAAAAACATTACACCGGAAACATTCCAAATCCTCCGTAACTAAAACCGAAACTGTCGGATATTTGAAATAAAAAGCTTTCCAAAACCGTAAGCGAATCTAATAAGAAGGTTCAAAATAATTTGGGATAGGGGTGGAGTCTAAATAGGTTAAAATAAGTCAAGTATTACAGACAAGTTACCCATTCAATTTTGTATGTAGTTCAATATCTTGCAGAAAGTCGATGTTACTAAGTGGTATTAAAGGTTTTTATATAAATTAAGAATATACAAAGATAATGCATAAAGAAAGAATCGACTAGATAGATTATTTGCATAGGCCATCATGAAATTTAAAATTAACAATTATTTTTTTTAGAGCGTTATTTCTACAAGCCTACTGTAAATAATACTGTAAGTTGTAAATTGTAAATTCACATACCTAACTGTAACTTCATATTGTGTAAAATTTCATACCCATAAACCCCCCCCCCCCCCCCCCCCCCCCCCCCCCCCCAACCCCCCCCCCCCCCCCCCCCCCCCCCAGTCGGCAATTTAGCTATACGTTAGCGCTATTGGTGGATAACTTACGAAAGTGCGTTTCTGAACAACGTTTCTTTCTTCTTCTCTTCTCAACAGACAATGTTTTCCGAACCGGTGGTACCTTACGAACCTAAATACGTAATTTTTGATGTAAAATTTGACGATTCATAAGAGCGCACAAGCGTCTATTCGAATAAATATATTTTTGATTTCGAAAAACGCCACGAAGGATAAAATCTGTTTAAACTTAGGTTAATCTTACCAACCAATGGGTGCCGTTTATCGGTTTCTTAACTTTATTTGACGCTTTATTTCTTAAGAACTACAAGATTTAGGTTAACCAATCAACCAACTACCTAGATATTAACAGTACCTTTTACTGTTAATGGTCAAATAACGAGAGGCTAAGACATCTTGCTAGATTTTTTTTGAGAATAAAATGTCAGCTTCAGTTATCACAATGCAATTTGATGTTGCCGCTTAAGTTCCCACCGATGTCTAACAGAAAAATAAGGTTTCTTTGATGCAGACATCGTGGTGAACTTGTAGGATAATCACAAATGTGAGTTTGAGACAAGTTCACTACCTTAACCACTAATTAAAGATGGTACAGTTTATTTCCTTTTGTTTCTTAATACGATTAAAATATACAATACTATATTTTTCTGAAATAAGTGCAGTATACATTGTTAGTATTAATTAAATATATATGATATTATAATATTGCATGTAAGATTACGTCCACGCCGTCTATCAAACTAATCACCAGCCTTCGGAAGTCGTTATTGTGTTGACTTAAGCAAACGTGCGAAGCAAAATATGTTTGTGTAGAGAGGCAGACAAAAAAGAGGGCTATATCGATTCACGGTCGAATCTCATCTTATTCACAGATTAGCCAGCATCCGTCGGCGAACGTTTATGAAAAAACAGTGCTTAGAGAAATGTGTGACTTTATTTTTTTATGTAGAAAGCTTTGAATAAGCGATTACTATCATGTAATATAGTTTCTTTTTTTTAATACACGAGCTGCCGATGGTTCATGTCTGACATTCCAAATTTGGAAAGAATGATAACTAAGTACATAACTTGTAAATTGTTGATAATAATTATATTGGCTCTCCCGTAATTGATAAAAGATTACAAAATATTATAACTGTTATGTAACATAAACAAAAATAAGAATCTCTAGTAGAGGTCAGCTAAGAACGGATTTTAAGAAATTCTACAAAACACCTTTTGCCGGATCAGCTAGTTTGTAATATATGTCTGCCATATGATTTTCGCCTATTTGTCTATATATTTTTTTTTTCTCTTTATATTTCTTGTCAAAAAAGTGCTACCCGCCACAGCTCCCTGGACGACATCATCCGTAGGACTCTTGTTTCCATATTATATTTATTTTAGAGCCGTGTGGAATTTTCCGCGACGATGGTAAGAGACCCGACGGATTGACTTTGATCCTTTGGGAGAGAGGCAAAGACATTTTAACTGCCTCTTACCTAAGGGTACTTAGGTCAAAGCTTGGGTGGCATCGGAGGGAGTTGAAGTACGTGGCACATGAGTCCCTTCGTTTAGATTATTTACTTATTTGTGCCATTTGATGTAGAAACTTTAGGCCCGTGGGGCGCTGTATATCGAAATTTTTGAAAGGTTTCCGCACTAGGCTCAACGCTGCGACTGGTGAAAAGAGAGCTGCTTCTTTTCTCAAAGGTTCAACTTAATTGGTCTAAATTACTGATTATTAGCTCCCCCCTAAGACCTTAATGGGCTCAAAACTACATATGTTTGACCTTTAGGAAATTGCGTGAACTTAAGTTAACCACAGCTCGGTCCAAAGTAGTTCCTTGGAGCTTGCGTCCAGTTACACCTCGGTATGATATCAGTGGCCACATTTTTCGCTTTATTTTACCCTGTCTACGACACGGGTCGATTACAATGTCTATGATTAAATTCTGACTCCTATTTCAGGAACATTGTTTATAATTACTTTTATTTAGTTACAATTGGTCCTTCCGCTGAGCTTCTATTTCTATTTTTTATTTTGACACATTCTTCTTACACAACGTCCTCTAACCCCAAACTAAGCAATGCTTGTACTATTGGTACTAGAAACTACACTTTACACACACATATAGACTAATAAAATATTACCATCCTTTGTGTAAAACAGTCGGGTACAAAGAAAATTAGGTGTAATTTTTTAATTTTCAATCTAAATATGAATGTGTTTATCTATATTATTATTAAGTAGGGATAAAACGCATATCCAGATCACCTATATTCATTCACCTATATCCTTTTATCGATATCAGATATATAAAAGTATTCTTTGGGCATACCTAAGCTTTCTTTTTAAGATTCACGCGGACAATAACTCTTGGATAACCCACAAGAGTTAAATTATTCCTATTAATATACCTCATTAAAAATCAAGTTCTATCTAACATTCACATTTTTAATCCTATAAATAAAAATATTTAAACGATTACGATTGATTTCGTAATTACAATGGACTAGGCAGATTATTATGCGAATATTTTTTAATTTTATGTTTAATCCAGAAATCCGTTATTCGAGTACATAAACTGTAACACACTTTAAATCTCAAAATGTTTTTAGTGTAAATTACAAAGTTATATACAATTATAACAATTTTAAAAACATTATCGGTTTTTTCGCTTATTAAAATTATCGGATTATTTCTTCTCTTTTTGTCTAAAATAACTTTATGGTCATTTCAGGTGGGAATTCGGGCGGTACCGCAGACGAAGACCCTGGCCCGAGTCCAGATTGTTTTTCTTTTTCTTTTCACCTTCCTTTCAATTTCTTTTATGAGAAAAGTCATCCAAGTACTAATATTAAAACTATTAATCAAATTTATCAAAAGTTTCACAAAGCACTACGGCTACAGTGCAGCTTTAAGGTATATTTCGTTCGAACCAAATTCTCTCTCAGATTATAAATACTGTATAACTTCAACTATGTTGCTTCGCAAATGGATTTTTTTTTGTCAAGAGCTGCGCTTTTGTGGCACTATGGAAATTGACAGTTGGGATATACAAAGGGTATTGTAAAAGGGCTAGGGGAGGGTTCGTAGTGAGAAGCGTCGTGAGAGTCGACTGGGCGCCGCCTTCAAACGAGCTTTGGGCGTGCACGGCCCCGTTGCTCATAGCTAAAACTCGAAGAAAGGGACGAAATTAGTGCCAACGTGAACGTTAAAGCGAGACAAAAGTGCCGCCATAGAGGGCGGAGCGCGCACTTTATGGACCATCCGGCGGCGTCGCCCACGACCCCGCTCATTCGCCTTTCGTTTAGCGTCCGCTATGTAAACGGGCCTTGTTGTGAATCTAAACAAAATCAGTCAGTCGTCGTTTTGTTGCCGTGAGAGTAACGCGTGGAGGGTGCCGCGTCCGCGGTCGGAACATGTTGTGGTTGTGAACGTGCGACCACACCATGCACGCGCTGTTCGGTGAGCAGAGCCCGTACGCGTACCGCGGAGGAGCCGCTGGTGGCTACTCGGCGGGAGTGACCCCCTACGCATATGAACAATACCGCTACGGCTATGGAGCGCCCTACCTCCACCCGCATCAGCAGCATGTCGGCACACCCAAAGACATGGTCAAGCCACCCTATTCCTACATCGCTCTAATCGCCATGGCCATCCAGAACGCGCCCGACCGCCGCATCACCCTCAACGGCATATATCAATTCATAATGGAACGATTCCCTTATTACAGGGAGAACAAACAGGGCTGGCAAAATTCCATCAGACATAATCTAAGTCTCAACGAGTGCTTCGTGAAAGTGGCACGGGACGATAAGAAACCAGGTAAAGGAAGTTACTGGACGTTGGATCCAGATTCATACAACATGTTCGATAACGGTTCTTACTTGCGACGGCGTCGTCGTTTTAAGAAAAAGGACGCGTTGAAAGAGAAAGAGGAGGCGTTGAAGCGGCAACAGCAGCTGCAACAGGCGCAGGAAGCGTTCGCCGCACAAGAAGCGCTAAGCGCAGCGGACACGCTTGGCCAACCACGAGATGTGAAGCCCGACGTGAAGCCCAGAATTTTTGAGTGTCGGCCAAAGAGAGAGCCCGGGGCAGAGTGCGCCCGCTACGAAAAACCGACTGACACAATGGACGAGTTCAGCGAGCCTCGCCTGCCGCCGTCCGCGGTGTATTGTTCGCCCCAACCTTATTCCTTGGCAGCCGAAGAATTCCGGGCCGCTACCTCAGGCTGGTACGCGGCACCCGAGCCTGCTGCCGAGCAGCTGCCGCCGGCCTTTCGGGACCTGTTCGAACCACCCAGCTGTCAGTTGGCAGGGTATCGCGGCGGCTCACCCGCTCCTGACGTGTACCGCGGCTCTCCGCCTCCGCACCACCATTATCGCACGCCAGCCCCCGCCTACTACCACCACCAAGCGTGTGTAGCCGCTGCGCCAGCGCCTGCTCACAAGTCCTACTGAGACTGTCCTCAGGTGAGAATATACCTAATTTTTATTAACGCTAGCGCATTGCGAAAAGCCTTTCCCATACAGTGCCGCCATCCGCGAATTAAGCTGTGCGAGCTACGTGCGTTCAGCCCCAGCGGGCGAGGGGTGAGCGCCGAGGCACCTCGTGACGTGGTTGTGGTTGCAGGAGGCCGGCACAGTACGGCGCCGAACGGATTTAGCCGCGCGCGTCAGTTCCAGATCGGATAAATATAGCACAGTAGCCGGAGATGCCGTCGAGGCAAGTGGCGGCGCGTCGATAACCACTGTTTACAGATCGGCGGCCGACCCTGCCGCCTCCCGCTCCGTTCACACTTATAGGTATGTCGAAACTTCGCATGTGTTCAATGCTTACTGTACCGATGAGAGCTGATGGTGTTGGGGTGTGCGTGCACGAGCTGGTGTGCGTGAACCGTCCGTGCTCCGTGTCTAACGCGTTCCAATGTTATACGGAAGCCACAGACAATTGTTTTGATTAGTTCTAGACATACATTATCCATAGAACATTATCCATAACAATCCTGAGAAATCCGACACATCGCCTGTCCCGAATTATCAGGATTGTTTCTACTGCAGCCATAATTGATAACCGGAACAAGTTAATGATCGAAATTCTTATTCTTTATTGTACACAAAAATATTACAGTTACAAATGAAGGATTACAAAAAGGACTGTACAAAGGCGAGCTTAACCCTAACCAGAGTTCTCTGCCAGCAAACCTTTAATATGTTGTGACATGAATAATTTTTTTTCAGAGACACAGGGTTGGACATAACCATTTTAATTTTAGATCCAATAAATGTGAGACTCTAATCATAATTATTAACAAATACTAAAGATATACCTACCTATTTGTTTGTTTGTAATTGTTGAAGTTTTAACGCATTTAAGTAGAACTTATTATAGTGTACAAGAGCCGCACACATTTGTAAGATTAAACAAGCGCTAGCGATAAAAACCCAAGCAGTTGCGTTTTTGTCTTTGGCACGTACCTGCCAAATCAAAAGTCTGACCATGTGGTGACCAAGTGCGGAGAGTTGGCACCGTAAAATGTCTTTTTAAAACGCTTTTTGCTTCCAACTCGACGAGGTTGTGTCATTATGAGCGATATGATTAAGTTTATTAAAAATCTCTTCAAACTCATGCTTGATTCGAAAATATAATTCATTATATAAACGTGGTTAGGATCCGACTGAGTTTTGACCTTATGTAGACCGTTGAAATTTTCTATATCTTCATTAGGTTTGAACTGTAGCGAATATTAATAGTACCTAACATCTTCTACCATCTATTCTAGTTAGACTACTATTCCGCAGAACTAACTTTCTTTATTTATAATATAAAATACAGATTACAGCTATTTAATCCCTGGTAAATGGTTATCCATCTATTTATATCCATAATCAAGTAACAAAAACATTTACTTAATTCAATTATTTATAAATGACATGTAATATTTCGTTGCCGCGGTCAATATGATACATATGTATTCAATAGATAAAAAGAGATTAAGAACAAAATACTCAAACTCACAGTTTATTTTAATTTGTCGTAAAACTTAGCAAAATTTATTGTCTCCCTGACAATTTTCTTATTCCCAAAGAGTAAATAATAATACGTATGTATTATTTATATGAGTATAAGTAAAATAATACGTATGTCGTTTACACAATAATATGTATGTTTACACATACTCTATATTCCTCAATTTTTATCACTCAAAAGTTCTTCTTCTTCTTCTTCTTTGATTAATGGCCACTCAAAAGTTATAGTGTACGTATGAACTTGTATTGAAAATATGTCATATGTATGTGACACAAGAAAACCCACAGAAAACGTCCATATATTCGTATATACTTAGATATGGTAGTGTTGACAGACTTCTGTGGATCGCGACTGATAAAAACCTAAGTTATCTCCCTAGTTGTTAACCTAAGTTGTCTCTGCCTACTTCTCAAGAGTTAGTCGATAATATTACATAAATAAATTTAAAATGATATGTTTAAGCTCGAAATGTTTGAACTTGTTATGTCTGTAATAAGTATGAATCTTAATAATGTTTCATAAGTTGATCGGCTTTTTTAATTTTTACTGTTATTCCTGTAATTTAGAGATGTATATTATAGATTCATAAGCATACAAAATATTTTGCTTTTATACATATTAAGACTTCGCTTTATGTACTATATAAATCTAAGTCTACGTTGCATGAATATGATAAAATTCTACCTTCAGAATTTTACAAGATTATTCAAATAAATTTACGACATCTGTTAACAGGAAACGTGAAGACATCTTAAGCGGTTTTCTTAATGTGTTAGTATTTAACTAGTTTCTTATTATAGTCTTCGTGAATTTCTAACAGAAAAATGTTTTGTCGCAGGTAAGATCGAAGGAGAAGACTGCGGGGTGTGGAGGGCACGAAGATTTTGGAGCTGATTGCTAGATGTATGTGGTTTTGTGGTCTTTGCAATTAATTTGCAGTGTTATTTGCGGTGTAATCACGGACTGATTTATGTATTGCGCTAAAATTTGTCTCTAGAGGAACTGAAGATAGCGTTTATAGTGCAACATGTTCTGTAAAGAATAATAGATCTCTATCCGATTACTCGTTAGTGAATCTCGCCGCGTAGATAAGACAAAAGCACCCGAAGCCGTTTGGTAAATTTTTATTAGGGAAGATTCCTTCATTTCTGTAATGTAATAATAACGCTCGTACCTTGACGAAATGTATGTAAATAAGGTAAAAAAAAAATTAATTTCCTGCTATTATTTAAGTTAGATTAGAATAACTGAATTATTTCAAAACTTATGTTCTAGTCTTCGGTTTGGTAATGTTCAATAAGTAGGTACATAGAAAATGTTGGATGCATAATGATTTTTTGAAAAAAATTCTGTGTACTCGTTATATAGGTACACCATAGCAAATATAATACTCACGAATACAAGGTTAGACTAAATATTTAGTATAGTAATAATTTTGTGTACATTTAGATTATGGTAATAAATCCATGCAATTATGAACTGAAAATAACTGAACTCGTGTATTACAGTTGAAATCGTAATGCTTTACAGATATTAGGAAATATGTACCTATTAAAATATATTATAAGGCATAAGGTAGCATGCTTTCCATTGTTGAATGGTGAGAAACAAAAAAGGATGTAAAAATTGTTATTTCAAACTAAAGATGATTGGTGTATTCATTTGATAAAATCTTTGCAGGAACGGTTTGGCTGTTGAATGTAAATATATCTATTCTCTTTGTATACATATTCTATTATATTACTTACGAGTTTCCATCTCACTGCTTCAATGCCTATGATAATTTATTTACTACTGTAGAAATACCATGTAAAATTGTTGATGTGTATTACATAGCCATATATTTGATCTTTATCGCAGTCGGTATCACTACAATAAGCAACAGTCATAACCACTTTTTGTTGCATTAATATAAAACTGGTACCTATATTGACTACAGATACCCAAAATATGTTACTATGGATACATAAATAAATCTTTTTAAATGATTCTTTGTAATTACTTCCATAACCAAAGCACGAAAATAAAATATGATTCTTAATCCCTTTACTAACTTTCCCTCCAGTAACATTTTAAATCCATACAAATACTTATTTCACAGTACTATGCACTAGTACTATATACTATAAAGTGTTGTGTAATATGTAAATTTTAAATAAATATCGACAATAAGTTGAAAAACGAGTGACGACCCAATTAACTCTGATTATACTTTCTTTTTTTATCAGAAGAAGAAGATTTTGATAAAAACATATCAAACAGTTGTAATAGGTAACCTGTGGATCACAAGAATATATAACTGAATAAAGTAAAGTAAAGTAAAAAATAACTACTAAGCTAAGTATAAAATACAATGAATAGTAGTAATCGAATAGCAAAAGTACAATTCATAGAAATTCAACCTGCATGCTATGTTTACGTTAAATAAAAAACTCTCAAGAGGGTACTTTGTCACTTCGATAGTAGTTTAGGATGATTTGATGACTCATCGATGCGCGTCCTTACTAAGAGATTTTTAATATTGTTACTGGAACACAAACTTGACAACAAACGGGCTACAAAGACGTAGCATTTCGCGTATATTTTTGTATGCATTGGGATCACGCACAACAACGGTGCAGATTGATAATATCCAGATATCAACAGCACACACTTACACGTTTTGCTGTGTGTTAGTTGGCGTCCATGCATATACATACATACAAAATAAAACTGAAGACCGTCTGAGCAAAATGGTGTATCGAATGACTCCAGCCCTTGGCAGCAACGATCATTCGATAAAATGCATCCTTTATGAATGTGAGCTTATAATTTGAAGGAAGTTTGCGTAAATGCACTTTTTTCGTCGTATTGTTGATGATTTTTTGGAGTAAACCAGAATCGATTTTGACGTGACTTGGTACTTTTTTGTTACCGTAACTAATGTTTGCACGCAAAAATTAGTTAACAAAAAAGTACCATGTTGTAATATCATGCACACCGCTCAACAAACAATTAAAATATGTTGAAATTAATCCATTATTACAAAAAACACACGTACGTAGTTATGTGTTTAAAAACAACAAATCTTACGTTCTATTTATAATATTAAGATAAGAAACATTATTAACATGTTTTCTCTACTGCGAGCTGTAGGTACAATTATGTATTTATGTTGATTAATAATGTCGATTTTGTATAATAACGAGGTTCATTTAATTTTTAATTAGCTACATACTTGCACTAAATTGTTGTCACTTTATAATCTATAATAAAATAATAAAAAGGTAAAATGGCAACAGTTGAAATGAAGAAAAAACGAGGCCTCTGACACTTGAAAAGAGATTCGTCATCGCAATCATTCAAATTTATCATCGAGGCACTCCACAGTTGATTTAGACCTCGCATTCCGTCACTAACTCAAAAATTGAAGTGTCGATATAAGCAGCCCGTACAGACCATACCGACCAAAGTCTAGGTAACTGCCTTCCTGTCTGAGAATACTGATGACAGTACGCATGGAAGGGGTCTTTTTTGACTGGAAGATGTGCCTTATGCCGCGTCAAGTGGTCTCTTTGTCATTCTGTAGCGGATTCTTCAGTTTGACGGCCACCACCTACCGCATAGTTGACATTTCGGATTTGTGATTAACTGGTAGAATGTGTGGTACTTATTATGGTGTATAAGATTAGTACTTCGTAAAATTTTTACTTCGGAAAACATTTAAGGACATTTTCTTTTTTACTTGAACATAATTACTTTAAAAAAAATGCATTTAAGTAACGATATATACAGTAATACCGTAAATTGATAAAGTTGTTTTTATGTTAGTTTGTTTTACACTTATAGTAAAGGATTGAGTCCATAAGTATATTTTTGGCAAAAAAACTGTCATATAAAACGGGAAAATCTGACTTCTTTCACTATCTTTATTTGACTGTCATCAAAGTGATCGTAACGTAACGTATTTTAAATTTTCAAGTGGAAGATTGTGGAATGGAAAATTTGATGTATCTTAACCCAATTCGTACAAAGCCGCGGCAGGTGGCTTAGTAGCAATATAATAATCAGCATAAACATCTATAAAGTGAGGAGAAAAGCATTGTTGTAATAAATATTCATGTGAGTATTTATTACTTTGAAGAATAAACAACACTTCACAATAATACCTCTTTCTTCTCATTAAATGTCATGACATTAATAATTATAAACATATTTTAACTATCAATAGCATAGTGTAAATATAAATAGGGACAATATTCATTAATTGTTTTCAAGTCAACTGTGGAAACTGTAAAGCTTCATGCACATAATGACGACCCGATTATTTGCTAAAGAAATGTATGTGTCCAGATGGTACAACAGTGATATTTGTTAATACCTAGGCTAGACAATTTCAACTTAAGGAAACTAACTTATCTACAACGTTGCATATCAACTGTCTGGGTTGAACGACGTGAGGTCATTTTTATCGCTTGACACAGTAAAATAAGCGTAAGTTTTACAGGTCTTAAATGTCAGTTTTTACAGGTCTGTATATCGGTAAATAAACCTAGAATAAAGGAACTAACGGAGCGAAGTGGAGAAAGGGAGACCGGATTAAAGATCAAGCGTCAAAGAACGTACAACACTAAGAAGAAAAAAAGATTATTATGTAAACATAAATATATTAATTCACATCTCATTGTGGAAGGTAAGGGGTGCTTATTTTGGCAGAGCGTCCGCGGTATAGGTCAATGAACTAGAGCTCTGTGTTTATTGTTTTTCAACTATACACATGTTGATATTGGCACAAAGTGTATTTGTTTTAAATTGGAGTCTCGTACAAACAGGTAAGGTTACGTCATCATGGACACAACCGCCCACGCAGCGAGTTGGGAGTTTATGAAGCGGAGGCAGGCCACACTTTGCACTCTAGCAACTTTTTTACTGGCTCTCACACAAACTATGTCGAAATAAAAATTAATTTATTACAATGCTTCTTTTATCTTTCACATTTCTGTTTGCATGGAGATTTATAGCGAGGATTTGCTTTGGCATAAAGTTGGATCGAGTTTTAAAGTCATATTCGAGGGATCATGGCAAAATTATCAAATTGACTGAGATGAAATTACCATAAATGAGATTGTGATGTAATAATTCCAATGAGGCTTTTTTTTGAAGAAGCCAAAGATATACAGAGATCATAAAACAGATAAACTCATGATAAGATTATACACATTTTTTGCCGAAAATCAAAATGAATTTTTAAAATTACAAAACGCCTCAAAACTGATCACTTGAAAATAAAACGATCGAAGGTCAACAACCACCACTTCTGAAAGGATTATCCCAGTCTTAACGCGATAATTTAATCCAATGTTTATCCAATGCCTCTAATAGTCCCGACGCACCGGAATGGTAAGCATCTGAGCCCGGCCATGTATCATACGTATAAGAAAATAATCCGAGTGCCTGAATTACGACCGAGGGAGAAGCGACGGCAAAATATTACGGAAAGTCTCAATTAAGTTATAAATCAAAGCAGTTAAATATTAACAACATTGTTGATATGTGATAAGCTGGCATTCCTTTAGATAGCTTAATGTTTACACATAAATAAACCTTAAACAGTTACATCTTCTCGTAGCAATATTGAAATGGAACAAATTTTACTTGATAAGTTAGAAATATTACTTGAATGTACGCAAGTAACGTTGGAAACAAGATCCCGAAACCCTCATAAAATATGTCGCAGCCAAAATGGCGTCACGCCCTTTGACTTCGACTCCCCTCCCTAAAACGCCCCAGTGTGACGAAATGTCACTCTTGACTGACGTGTGACAAGTGGTACTAGAAATCTGCGAAAATTAAAACAGCG